AGTGTGAAAGGAAACCAGAGTACCCGGAGGAAACCCATGCAGGCACAGGGAGAACATGCAAACTGCAGGCAGGTGGTGCCATGGTTGGGATTCGAACAAACGACCCGAGTACTGCCAGGTGGAAGTGCAAACCATTTAGCCACTGTGCTGCCCATGGGGAGTAGAGGAGAGTTATAACCCCTGTCAGTTTATTTTTTTCCATATGTGTCCCATTGGGGAGATTTACCTTCCCTAGCCAAAACAGGAAGTGAGATAAAATCCCTACAAATTAAGGGAATTCCTTGGGGATCCACAGGTCACCAGAACTACTGTCCCCATTGGAAGATTTCCCCTATATTACTTTTTTGGGGACAACCCAAAATTTTGGGGTTTTCTTTTACTTTCACTTTAGATGATAATGCGGCATGGGGACCAGGTGGGATCCAAGAGAGGTTGCGGGCTGCTTGATGGTGTATGGAGAGCTCGACTCTCGTTCCCAGGGATGTCCGGAGCTGTGAAGGTGAGTGTCTTTCTCTCTCTTGCCGGGGGGGAGGGGAAGTTAGTGGAAGGCTCTCTCAGGTGGGAGGTGGGAAGGGGTGTTGTTGGTCAATGTAAGGCTCTCTCCTTGTTGCCTAGGGCAGCACAAATCCTAGATACACCACTGATTATTGGTGCTCTCTGCTTTCCCTTGAAGCCAGCTGCTGGGGACATCATGTGACTGGTCCAGAGCACCCTTAAATTAGGTAAGTATACACATCTTTCCTCTACAGGCTAGTTAGTATAGGACTCAGAATGGGGGCGGGATCAGATTTAAGATTTGATAGGTTTAGACCAGACTTCCACTTTAAATAGTCCAAACATAAGGTCTCAGATGAATTTTCAGCTTTTCTACTGAAGCTTTATAGTGTTTCCCATTGATGTGACCTTTCATCTGAGTTTGCTTCTGTCTTAGAGGGATCTTGGGTCACTTACTAATCAAACATGACTCTCACAGGTCATCTTTTTTCCAGGGAAAAAGAAGAAATTGAAACCAAACAGTATGTAAATTGCTTTGAGTGCTGTGTGCTTTTCTTTCAGCATGGATTTTGCAGGCCTTGGCCGATGAAGAAACTGACATGCTGGTTGTAGGGGTACAGTGATCAGGTTACGATGGATGTGTGACTTAATGGCCTCGTAGCCTGGTCACCATATCCGTATGATTCAGACATCAACCTTGTCTTGTGTGGTTGGTTCTTTTTTACTGTTTTCTTCTATTACTGCTCTATTTTAATATCTATAGTCAAGGTCACTGATCTCCATCAGCTTCATTATCTGTTAGTTTAGGGTCGTTCTTCCTGTTAGTATCCCACAAGGCCAAGGGTAAGAAAATTGAGTTAGCTGAGTTAGGCCTCCCTGGCACCAGAAAGCAGGGCATTGATGAGTTATTTTACTGGGCCTTATAGGTTTTGCTGTAGCAGCATTATGGGGACTTCAACTCAGGATGAGTGCTTCTCAACCATTCACAGAAGGCCATGTATTTTTAGGAATTAATACAAGGCTTCCTCTCTGATTGGCTGAGGTGGAGAGTCGAGTGAAAGACATCATGATATCCACCTCTTCCATTCAGAATAGTCTTGTAATCATTGATAAATATATAAATACATGACTTTCTGTGAATTGCTGAGAAGAGTTTTTGTTCTGGCAGCAAAAGGGAAGTCCTCATATCGCTGTTGATGAATAGGAATGGATTTATATGCACTGGTGTGCATTAGGACACAAGGTCTCAAGTTTTTATTACTCATCCTTGGCACTTACAGTATATTTAGTATGGTTTACAGTTGATGAGAGTTGTAGTATAGCCAAGTCTACCTCTTCTATACATACATTTCAGGAGGAATGGAAACTTTGCACAGTTGATGTCCTTTGCAGGCGGTATCAGTTTTCTGGCTCCTAGTGCTTAACATGGAAAAGAAGTAGCCTGGGTCAGCTATCAGTGAGAAAAGACAACCCAGTACTCAGCTCATATCATGCTTCTCCTTCACCCGGACAGCAGACACTTTTAACTTTTTCCTGCCATAGCTGCTTTTTACAGGTGGACAGCTATTACTACAGTGGAATTCAGATTTTTTTATCGGCCCCAGATCTATTTCCTGCACTGTCCTATGTGTAATATTCCATGTAACTACATGTGATTACACAGGTTTCTTCTAAAGGCACGTTATTACTTTTAGCAGGCTCGTATGAATCACATGTTAACAAAATATCAAAGTCAGGCAGGAGACCATACTGTAGCTCAAGTGACCTTGGAGAGGCACAGAAAACTTATCAATAGAGAGTATGAGGACACATTTTAAGAGTTTGTTCACACTAAAATTACTTTGAAAAATACTTTTAGCTGACACAACTTACTTGACCACTTTTTCTGGTGTTTTGGGAACACAGTCTTCCCATCTGTTAGAATGAGCATGCAGAACTGTCCCAGTCATGGCTAATATACTTCTGTGGACGTTAGTGATGAGCCAGGGAGAACCCCATTGCATCCAAGATCCATTGTCTTCATGACCACACTGCTTTAGTTGCTTTGCAATTATTTCTTATTTTCATGATATTTTCATGATAACGACCCCAAACACACCTCCAAGATGACCACTGAGGGTAAAGGTGATGGACTGGCCAAGCATGTTTCCAGACCTAAACCCTATTGAGCATCTGTGGGGCATCCTCAAACGGAAGGTGGAGGAGTGCAAGGTCTCTAACATCCACCAGCTCCATGATATCATCATGGAGGAGTGGAAGAGGACTCCAGTGGCAACCTGTGAAGCTCTGGTGAACTCCATGCGCAAGAGGGTTAGGGCAGTGCTGGAAAATAATGGTGGCCACACAAAATATTGACACTTTGGGCCCAATTTGGACATTTTCACTTAGGGGTGTGCTCACTTTTGTTGCCAGTGGTTTAGATATTAATGGCTGTGTGTTGAGTCATTTTGAGGAGACAGCAAATTTACACTGTTATGCAAGCTATAAACTCACTACTTTACATTGTAGCAAAGTGTAATTTCTTCAGTGCTGTCACATGAAAAGATATAAAAAAATATTTACAAAAATGTGAGGAGTGTACTCACTTTTGTGAGATACTGTATATATGTACATTTCAGTGGGTAGGAAAAAAACTGAGATACTCATAAATTAAAGAACAATAATCAGTGTCATAACCTATGAAGCCCAGTAAACCCCTCAGTCCTTAAGAATCCATGTGTAGCACAAAGCACGCACTGATCTTGCAGCTCCTCCAGGTCATAAAAGTATAATTTAATAACAAAAACAAACAACCGCCCACTTACAGTGAAGTATACAATTAGAGGCTCATCTAGAATGTCCAAAGCATAGTATGGGAAAGAGTTCCAGGATTTAGTTCAGACCAGGTGCTTGCTAGCTGGATCTGCTGAGATGACATGTCAAACCCATGTAACCCATGGGGAAATTAAGGAACTCTGCTTAATGTTACATGGATGGCAACAAATAATTTGACATGAGCTTTAACTCTTCACTACTCTATCCAAAACTAAAAGGAAAGGTTTTGGTTATACACTCAAAAAAATTTAATTAATCAGAATATAGCATTAAGTCAATTAAACTCCTGGGATATTGATCTGATCTGGTCAGTTAAGTAGCAGAGGGGGTTGTTAATCACTTTCAGCTGCTTTGGTGTTAATGAAATTAACAATAGGTGCACTAGATGGGCAAAAATGAGACAATCCCCAAAACAGGAATGGTTTTACAGGTGGAGGCCACTGACATTTTTTTCCCTACTCATCTTTTCTGACTGTTTTTCACAAGTTTTGCATTTGGCTAGGGTCAGTGTCACTACTGGTAGCATGAGGCCATACCTGGACACTACAGAGGTTGCACAGGCAGCCCAACTCCTCCAGGATGACACATCAATACATGCCATTGCCAGAAAGTTTGCTTTGACTCCCAGCACAGTCTCAAGAACATGGAGGAGATTCCAGGAGACAGGCAGTTACTCTAGGAGAGCTGAACAGGGCTGTAGAAGGTCCTAAACCCATCAGCAGGACCGGTATCTGCTTTGTGCAAGAAGGAACAGGATGAGCACTGCCAGAGCCCTACAAAATGACCTCTAGCAGGCCACTGGTGTGAATGTGGGTGGCCTGAGGACCTGACATCCTTTAGTGGGCCCTGTGCTCACTGCCCAGCACCATAGAGCTCAATTGCCATTTGCCATTGAACACCAGAATTGGCAGATCTGCCACTGGCGCCCTGTGCTTTTCACAGATGAGAGCAGGTTCACCCTGAGCACATGTGACAGACATGAAAGGGTCTGGAGAAGCCTCAAAGAACGTTATGCTGCCTGTAACATTGTACAGCATGACCATTTTGGTGGTGGGTCAGTGATGGTCTGGGGAGGCATATCTATGGAGGGACACACGGACCTCTACAGGCTAGACATACAAACTACTGAGGACCATTTTGAGTTGCTGCAATGAACTTTCAGCTAAATGGACTAGCCTGCTGCATCATCTTTTCACTTTGATTTCAGGGTGTCTTTGAATTCAGTCCTCTGTAGGTTGATAACTTTCATTTCCATCAAACGATGGGGCATCCTTACGTTCCTAAACACATTACCCAGTCCATATCAGAATAGATATCTAGTATGATATTTTTCCCCATTGAGATCTGATGTTTTCAAAGTGTTCCTTTAATTTTTTTGAGCAGTGCACATGCACTTTAAGAAGTAAGGGCTTGCTGTGTCTGTGCCCAATTCAAAATACTTTTACTCTAAATGAATGGTAAAATCTGATTGGAAGCCATGAGCTACTGCACTTTTGTCCTTTTACACTTCCTTTTGGGTATGTTTTTCTTTCCTGTTCATTCTCAAAGGTCTGGATTAGTGCTGTGAATGCTACCCCCTGCTGGTAACGTGAGATACGTTAAAGTTTGAATTTTGCACTGCGCTTGACTTACATGTTTTATTTTTTTTTTAAGTGGATCTTGTGAGCTACTTAGCCCGTTTTGAGTGGGACATGGCTAAATACCCTATAAAGCAGCCACTGAAAAATCTAACAGACTCTCTGAGCAAGGTAAGAAGGACTTTTATCATCATCACTATCTTTTTTTTAAGGAGTGTACTTACAGATTGTGCTGTTTTTAACACTTATGAATGACAATGGGCCTCATTCATCAGGCTTCATTACTTCATTAGCAGTTAAAGCATGCTAAATAACATAGGATGAAATTGATTGAAAGGCTGTATCAGTGTGCCATAAAATGCTTACCCTTACTCCCTAGCTTGGGGAGCTCTGCATTGTGAGAATGCACTCTTGCCGTGAGCAGGCAAAGCACAGATTTAATTTGAAGACTTTCCAAATTGGACCAGTTACTTAGACCAACATGAGCTTCCTCCCCTCATACACATTACTATCAGTCAATGAATCAGTCCAACATAGTGATGGACCACTAGGAATATAGGACGTAGAAGAGGGCAGCAAGGTCTGACACGATGGAGCTTTTCCTGATCAGGATTGCCCAGCTATGAAAGCTGCAGCTAGTATGTGCAGAAGCTTACACTTCATACAAATAGAACATTTTACATTTGAGCGCAGTAATTGTTTTATGCATGTATACGCATGCGCATGTTTACGCACCTGTCTGCACAAGGTCTTTACAGAGCAATTTACTCCTTTTGTCAACAGGATCCTGAATATAAACATCAGTAAATTATTACTACCAGTTATTGTTAATGTGTCTCTTTAATCATTCTTTACTTTGTCAAAAACGAAAGAAAACGTTTTAGCTTTACATGTATTTTTTTAAAACATATCTAACTTCAGAGTTTAGGTCTTTAACCACTTAACTTCTCGGAAAGGATTTACCCTTTTCAAGACCAGGGCATTTTTTTGCTATTCAACACTGCGCTACTTTAATTGGCAATTACTCTTTCATTCATGCAACACTGTACCCACATGAAATTTACATCATTTTTTTTTCACACAAATAGAGCTTTCTTTTGGTGATATTTTGCTCACCACTTGGTTTTTTATTTTTCATTATATAAACAGAAAAGTCTTGAAATAAATACATTTAGGCCAAATTGTGTTCTGCTGCATGTCTTTGGTAAAACAAATCACAAGTGTATATTGGTTTGTGTGAAAGTTCTAGTGTCTACAAACTATGGTATATATACTGGAATTTATACAGCCATGGCACTATACTGGCAATAATGGTGATCAGAGACTTAATGTGGGACTGTGATAGTGTGGTGGGCAATCTGGTGCTAGCAGATCCTTGCTGGGAGGTACACTAAGTGACTAACTGACACTGACATTGCTAGTGACATTAATACAGTGATCAGATATAATAATGTACACTGTCACTGTACTAATGACACTGGCTGGGAAGGGGTTAATCATCATCAAGGGGCAAATAAGGGGTTAACTGTGTGCCTAACACGTTAACTGTGTGCCCTAGTGTAATGTGTGTAATATCTGCTGCTTTTACTAAGAGATATGGAGAAAAACAGCCACATCGCAGTCTGTGTACAGGGTACTATGTGTTCTGTGATTGGCCACAACCGATTAGCTGGCATACAGCCATAATCATTGGCTGTAACTGGCTGACCAACTTGTGCTGTAGCCAATCACAGCAAAGATCGGCAGGGGGCGTGCGTGCGCCTCAAACCCTGAAACAGGCTGCCAACGTGCATGTAGGTGACTGTGCCTGCACCTACCGTCCGCTTGCAGTAGATTTACTATGAGCGGGTTGGCAAGTGGCTAAATAAAACTGGAAACACAGTTTGTAAATATTGTGTCTTGATGTTGTGTTACTTTCAAGAAGAACTGAACTGTGGAAGCTGTGCCCTAAAAAAGGCAGGAAGAAGGCAAAGAACCAGTCCCTAATATTGCCTGTGGTCTCCCAGGAGCTGATCTTTTTCCATGTTACTGACTTCCCATGCCTTGTTCTGCACGGTGTGTCAATATGGAGGTGGCCATCTTGGCAGAGGCAAGTTGTTGATTCCTCATATCACAGCCAGGGGCGGACTGACCATTTGGGCACTCGGGCACTGCCCGAGGGCCCGGGGTCAGTAGGGGGCCCCATGAGATGCCCCTGGTACCCTTTAATAGGCTTTTTTTAGTGTGGTTTGAGTGTGGGCAAGGACACAGGGGCCCCATGATCCCCTATTGCTCAGGGGCCCCATGAGTTGTCAGTCCGCCCTTGGTACTAACATTGCCAACTCTCATTCCAAATATCCTAGCACTCAGAGGCAGCAGTTCCTTACACACTGCAGATATACTGTGCCTAGGCACTCTCACATACCAGGAAGTGTACTGCTAGTTTCAGGAGGAATTCAAGATAAAGGTACTGTAGAAGTACTACTTATACACAACTATTACTTTTAGCTGGTCCTTATAACAATTCTTCACGCTATGAGTATAGGTCCACTTTAATTACAAGTCTTATTACAAATTGATTTACAATACAAATGATTACAAATTACAAATAATATTACAAATCAATGCATTTTTTACAATTTATTCACAATAAATTACAAATGTAATTACAATGTGTTATAGTATTTATTGCCTTGCTTTCATTCCTGTGTTAAATCTCCAGAGCAGGGGCGGACTGACAACTCATGGGGCCCCCGGGCAATAGGGATCATGGGGCCCCTGTGTCCTTGCCCAAACTCAAAAAAGCCTATGGAAAAGGTACCAGGGGCATCTCATGGGGCCCCCTACTGACCCCGGGTCCTCGGGCAGTGCCTGAGTTTCCAAATGGTCAGTCCGCCCCTGTTCTAGAGTTGATATTAGGGCACTTAAAGTGTAACTTCACCCTGTCAGTCAACACTGACTTTTTTTTAATCCTTATCATGTTCGCATTGGTAAATAGAAAAGAAAGTATATCATATTTACTTGTTTTAAACTATTTTTACATTCCTTTAGTTACTTCCTAGTTTTTGTGCATAAATGATGTCATACAGTCCATCCCAACAGTCTTCAGGAGGGGTTTTCTCAGCTAAGCACATCCTCCTGCATTTATGCCTAAACTAAGGGCAGATGGATTACAGGAAGTAATCATCTGAACCTTACTCAAGATGACCACAGCCAGATATATTACCAGGGTGTTTTTCTAAGTGATTTCTTAGAAAAATAAAAGCATGGAGACATGGATGGATAAAAATGAATAGTGCTTTTGGTTTGTGGTGCTCAGGTACAGTGTAGTTCTACTTTAAACACAGTACATCTCCACCAATTTAATTGTATTCTTATTTCTTTCATTGTTGTCACATTCTTATGTCTACAAGTATCTTGCATTTGTTTTTATTGCAGCAAATGACACAGATTGACACAGACCTAAAATCAAGAGCCCAGACCTACAACAATATAAAAGGCAACCTGCAGAGTCTGGAGAGAAAAACCGTGTATGTATAGCTGTTTATGTGAGTCATTTTGTACTTCTTGGATTTTCTTATATAAAACAGAAGACAGATTTAAAGGATAAATATAGGACAGGATACAGAATGGGACATTTTTAGGACCCATGGACTTCAATGGGAGCACCTGAAAACACCCGAAATGAGCATTTTTCAAGCCTCAACAACCATCTTCTTCTCATAGTAACTAGATTTAGGGTGGTTAAAACAAAAAGGCTCAACTGAATGACAACAATGCCAAAAGCGCACAGAAAGAAATGCTCTGAGAACTCACCTGTAAAAGCTCACACTTCGGGATGAGGTCAGGATATCCTAGTCTGAACCCACCTGAGCTATCCTGCCAGGAAGCTGTTGTTGCACAAAGCCAATCATAAGCAGCCAAGGCATTCCCTGCCTTCAGCCACACATATACAGTACATGTCCCTTGTATACATGCACCTTCGGGAATGCCTTGGCCAGTTATGATTGGCTTTGTGCAACAACAGCTTCCTGGCAGGATAGCTCAGTTGGGTTTGGACTAGGATCTGAACACATCTGGGTCCATTGCTACTGCATCCCAACCCTACTCATACCGTCTGTTTTATTATTAATATTTAAAGCCAAACTACTGCTTATTAAATCAGATCCTAAATACAGGTTGCCTTTAACTACTGTGTACAACTATGAAATTGTTCTGTTGTATGGGTTTATTGTTTGTTAATACCAGTGGCCTTTTTTCTCTATCCACAGGGGCAATCTTCTAACCCGAACCCTAGCTGATATTGTAAATAAAGATGACTTTGTGTTGGAGTCGGAATACCTCATTACTCTTCTGGTAGTTGTCCCAAAGTAAGTAATGTGTGCCTTAAATGGACTTTTCAGTGACTGTACAAGTCTGAACACATTCCTGACATGTCACAATGTACAGTATTTCAAAAACCTCAACCACTTATCAGTTAAAAAAAAAAAAAATGCCGTTGACTTTCAATCCAATGACTTTGCTATCGCTGAGAGGATTTCATCAGTTTGCTGCTGGCAGGAGGAAGCACTTCCTCAGTCTCCTTTCCCCCTTATCTGATATAAGATGCCCCCTATATCCAGGCAAACTAATAAGTCGTACTGTAGGTGGTCTAAGGTTATTAGGGTGTACCCCAAGGATCAGTGTTTGGGCACTTTTTTTAATATATTTATAAATTATATAGAGATTGAGAATAAAAGTACCATTTCATTCTTTGCAGATGACATCAATATATGCAATGGAATAATAGGTTGTCTCCAACTAATAACCTCCTGACAGGTTGTCTCCAACTAATAACCTCCTGACAGGTTGTCTCCAACTAATAACCTCCTGACAGGTTGTCTCCAACTAATAACCTCCTTACAGGTTGTCTCCAACTAATAACCTCCTTACAGGTTGTTTCCAACTAATACCCTCCTTACAGGTTGTCTCCAACTAATAACCTCCTGACAGGTTGTCTCCAACTAATAACCTCCTTACAGGTTGTCTCCAACTAATAACCTCCTTACAGGTTGTCTCCAACTAATAACCTCCTTACAGGTTGTCTCCAACTAATACCCTCCTTACAGGTTGTCTCCAACTAATAACCTCCTTACAGGTTGTCTCCAACTAATAACCTCCTGACAGGTTGTCTCCAACTAATAACCTCCTTACAGGTTGTCTCCAACTAATAACCTCCTTACAGGTTGTCTCCAACTAATAACCTCCTGACAGGTTGTCTCCAACTAATAACCTCCTTACAGGTTGTCTCCAACTAATAACCTCCTTACAGGTTGTCTCCAACTAATAACCTCCTTACAGGTTGTCTCCAACTAATAACCTCCTTACAGGTTGTCTCCAACTAATAACCTCCTTACAGGTTGTCTCCAACTAATACCCTCCTTACAGGTTGTCTCCAACTAATACCCTCCTTACAGGTTGTCTCCAACTGGTAAATGAGGTTTAATATTGATAAATATAATGTTATGCACTTGGGGGCTAAAAACACACATGCATCATACATGCTAGGTGGAGTACATCTGGGGTAATCAATGGTGGAGAAAGATCTGGGTGTTCTGGTCATTCACAGACTTGATAATAGCATGCAATAATAGCAAAGCCACCAAAATCCTTTCTTGTATTAATGAGGTATAGAGTGCAGAGAGAGATATCATATTACCCTGGTACAAATTATTAGTAATACCTCATCTGGAATATACAGTTCAGTTTTGGGCACCAATTCACAAAAAGAACATTGGGGAACTGGAGAAAGACTCATAAGAGGCATGGAGGAGCTCAGCTATGAGGAAAGATTAGAGGAACTGAATTTATTCTCTCTTGAGAAGAGGAGATTAAGGGGGAATATGATCAACATGTATAAATACATCAGTGGTTCATATAGTGAACTTGGTACAGAGGTCATTACAGAGGATAAGGGGGCACTTTTTAGTCTGGAGGAAAAGTGATTGAACCTCCACATACAGAAAGGCTTCTTCACAGTAAGAGACTCCCTCAAGAACCTGTTCTAGGTAACTTGATTGTTTTTTAAAAAGCTAAATGCATAAAATATACTTGGATAATAAAATTTATAGGTAATATCACCAGAGATTGTTGATCCAGAAAGTATACTGTATGATTGCCTTGGTGGATCTGGAAGGATTTTTTTTCTCCATTGAAGCAAATAGTATTATGCTTTATAGTTTTTTTTTTTTCTTTTTGCTTGAACAGACTGGGTGTTTTACATTCTAAATATGGACAGTTTCTTCTATATTAAGGAGTACAATATACTAATATTTATGGAGTAAATATAATAGACCACCTACTATACAGATGTTCTTCATTTACCATACTTTATTAGTTGGCTTGCACAAAAATAAATTCTAGAACTGTCTATGGTTGGTTGTGTTCAGATGAAAATAATAACCTTATCAAAGGATAATAACCGCTCGTTTTTTTTTCAAAGGGCAAGCTACAGTGCATGGCAAAAAACCTATGAATCACTATCTGATATGGTTGTACCTCGTTCAACCAAGTGAGTAATAACTTTCCAGCATACGAAATATGACAACTTGGATCCAGCTGTGTTCACATGTAATATAAACTAAGAATGCAGCTCACTAGAAACCATTCTATAATTAAACTACTACATTTTCAGGAATATCAACCCCCATGTCCCTCACAGCACAGGTTCCTTTAGTATTAAGCAGCATCTTTTAAATTAGGTTATAATCCTTTAGCATTTCCCTAACACAAGCAAGAAATAAAGTGTAAAAGAGAGAAGGTGAGTGAGAAGTCTACAAGTAATCCTAGCAGAGAATAGAAAGGGAAGACTAAGAGAGAAAAGTGAGGATTAGGGTTGGAGAGAAGCAAGAAAGAAGGGGAAGGGTGTCCAGTGTCTTATAGGACCCTAAAAACACACCTAGTTTTGGGTGGTGATCTTCCTTAAAGCTGAACTCTGGGATAGGCAAATAATGTCAAAATACAAGAATCATACGTTATCTTCCTTGAATCGGTGTGCTGTGTGTACTTCTTCCAGATCTGTGCAGTAATCCAGTGTGAAGCTTTACCTCTGTGCAGGAGCTTCCTCTAATAATGGCCGGTCACTGCTGCTCTCCCTCCTTGTGCAGGGTGACTGGCCTTGTCCCCAACCCCTCCTGTGGTTTACTGCAGGTAGCCTGTAGAGGGAGCCCCTCCCACAGCTCTGCTCTCTGCTCAGGTTATGTACTGCACAGTGATGTTGTCAGTCACTTTTATATGGTAATATCTAGGTTTGCAAAGTCATTTGGTGCACACATATTGGATTTATAGCCATCGTTACTATTGAGGAATACATATACACTATATTTCCAGAAGTAATGGGACGCCTGCCTTTACACGCACATGAACTTTAATGGCATCCCAGTCTTAGTCCGTAGGGTTCAATATTGAGTTGGCCCACCCTTTGCAGCTATAACAGCTTCAGCTCCTCTGAGAATGGTGTCCACAATATTTAGGAGTGTGTCTATGAAAATGTTTGACCATTCAACCAAAAGAGCATTTTTGAGGTCAGGCACTGATGTCGGACGAGAAGGCCTGGCTCACAGTCTCTGCTCTAATTCATCCCAAAGATGTTCTTTAGAGTTGCGGTCAGGACTCTGTACAGGCCAGTCAAGTTCCTCCACCCGAAACTCGCTCATCCATGTTTTTATGGACCTTGCTTTGTGCAGTGGTGGGCAGTCATGTTGGAAAAGGAAGGGGCCATCCCCAAAATGTTCCCACAAAGTTGGGAGCATGAAATTGTCCAAAATGTCTTGGTGTCTTGAGAGTTCCCTTCACTGGAACTAAGGGGCCAAGCCCAACTTCTTAAGAACAACCCCACACCATAATCCCCCCTCCACCAAACTTTACACTTGGCACAATGCAGTCAGGCAAGTACTGTTCTCCTGGCAACTGCCAAACCCAGGCACATCCATCAGATTGCCTGACAGAGAAGCGTGATTGGTCACTCCAGAGAACACGTCTCCACTGCTCTAGAGTCCAGCGGCGGCTGCTTTACACCACTGCATCCGACGCTTTGCATTGCACTTGGTGATGTAAGGCTTGGATGCAGCTGCTCAGCCATGTAAACCCATTCCATGAAGCTCTCTACACACTGTTGTTGTGCTAATCTGAAGTCCACACAAAGTTTGGAGGTCTTTAGCTATTGACTCTGTAGACAGTTGGTGAATTCTGGGCACTGCGTGCTTCAGCATGCGCTGATCCCATCATTTTACGTGGCCTATCACATCGTGGCTGAGTTGCTGTTGTTCCCAGTTGCTTCCACTTTGTTATAATACCACTAACAGTTGACCCTTGAATTCACTAAGCTCTTAAGAGCGACCCATTCTTTCACAAATGTTTGTAGAAGCAGTCTGCATGCCTAGGTGCTTGATTTTATACACCTGTGGCCATGGAAGTGATTGGAACATCTGAATCCAATGATTTGGAGGGGTGTCCCAATGCCTTTGGAAATATAGAGTGTATATATGAAAGGTTCTGTGCCTGGCGTTCACCTATAAAGCCCAGCTGAAGCCTCTGTATCTATTACTGTAGTGCAGTCAGGATGCGTACAGTGGGGAAAATAATTATTTGATCCCCTGCAGATTTTGTAAGTTTGCCCACTAATAAAGAAATGAAAGGTCTATCATTTTTATCATAGGTGTACTTTATAGACAGAATATCAACCAAAAATCCAGAAAAAACACACGATACAAATGTTATAAATTGAGTTGCAGTTCAGTATTTGGTCCCTTAACAACCAACAATAATTCTGGCTCATGTGGTACACAGATTAGTCCTGTCAATTTAAGAAGGTACTCCTAACGACAACTCGTTATATGTATAAAAGACACCTGCCCACAGAATCTTTTTCTTGGGCACCACCATGGGCAAGATCAAAAAGCTGTCAAAGGAAGTCAGGGACAAGGCTGTAGACCTGCACAAGGCTGAAATGGGCTACAAGACCATCAGAAAGAAGCTGGGTGAGAAGGAGACAACTGTTGGAGTGATTATTTGCAAATTGAAGAAATACCAAATACTCATCCATCGCCCTTGGTCTGGAGCTCCATGCAAAATTTTGCCTTATTGGGTAAGGATGATCATGGTAAAAGTGAGTCCGAAGTTTGCAAATGAACATCTAAATGATTCAGAGAAGGATTGGGAGAAAGTGCTGTGGTCAGATGAGACCAAAATTGAGCTCTTTGGCAATAACTCATTAACTTGCTGTGTTTGGAGGAAGAAAAATGTTGACTATGACCCTAAGAACACCATCCCTACATCAAGCATGGAGGTGGAAACATTATGCTTTGGGGCTGTTTCTCTGCTAAAGGTACAGGCTGACTTTGCCGCACTGAGGGGCCAATGGACAGGGCCATGTGTTGTAAAATTTTGGATGAGAACCTTCTTCCATCTTCCCTTTCCTGAACACTGAGGATGGGTCGTGGATGGGTCTTCCAGCATCACAATGACCCAATACATACCACCATGGCAACAAAGGAGTGGCTCAAGAAGAAGCTCATTAAGGTATGGAGTGGCCTAGCCAGTCTTCAGACCTTAATCCTATAGAAAATTTATTGAGGGAGCTGAAACTTCGAGTTGCCAAGTAACAGCCAGGAAACCTTAAGGATCGAGAGAAGATCTGTAGAGAAGAATGGACCAAAATCCCTCCTGAAATGTGTGCAAACCTGGTAACCAATTACAAGAAACATCTCGCCTCTGTGCTTTCCAAGAAGGGTTTCTCCACCAAGTACTAAGTCATGTTTTGCTTGGGGATCAAATATCTATTTTACTCACTGAACTGCAACTCAATTTATAACATTTGTATCGTGGTTTTTTTTCTGGATTTTTGGTTGATATTCTGTCTCTATCATTTAAAATACACCTATGACATACCTAAGAATCGCTCATTGTCTACAAACAACAATCTTACCCCACACCACTAAGATACCAATTACAGCCTACCTCTTCTTCACCAAACCTCAATACCCAGGTAAGGGTATCTCCACTTTCTATACATATCTCACAAACTTACAATTTACACTACAAACAACCTCCCTAACCAACTGGGAAAAAATCCTATCAGAACAAATAACTTTACAATGCTGGGAAAAGGCCTTCAACATTATCTATAAAGCTACTAGATGCAGCTCCCACTGGGAGTCATATCTAAAAATACTCCACCAATGGTACCTGACCCCGGTCAAACTTTCCCTCTACTACCGAAACAGTCTCCTACATGCTGGAGACAATGCGGTGAGACAGGCTCAACACTACATATTCTTTGGTCATGTAAGTCACTTAGATCCTTCTGGAATACTACCTTCCAATTAATATCTGACATAACCAAAATTTTGATAACCCCAAATCCCTCATTAGCACTCCTACATATCGGGATCGAGAAATTCCCTCCTCACTCCCGAACAATTATTACCCACACATTTTTCGCCGCCAAAATAAACATTACCAGATTATGGAACACAAATATTACCCCCTCAATTACCTCACTAATTACAGACCTCAACACCCAATGTGAAATGGAGAAAATATCCGCAATCAACACTTCTTCCCACCATAAATTTCATCACCAATGGACCCGAAGGCTAAATCACCCAAAATGCTCTGTACAACCCTGATGACATTGAAAGAGTAAAATTACCTTCTAAACCGAGACTGGTATAGCCTCATTCACCCAGTTATATCTTTCCTCCCCTAATCCTCACCTCCCCCATCTCCCCCACCAATACCCCCCTAACATCCCAAGCTCCTCACCAAGGTTCATCATACACATATGAATACCTCTGATGATATTGCTAATTAAGACCAACACCACCACCGCCCAGTGAGTGGAATAACAGAAATGCTCAACTGTATAATGTTTATTGCAATACTGTATGAATGAACCATATCTCATTTCCTTGCTTGTCTCTGGAAAATTTAATAAAAATATTGAAATATAAAATACACCTATGATAAAAATGACAGACCTTTCATTTCTTTGTAAGTAGGCGAACTTACAAAATCTGCAGGGGATCAAATAATTATTTTCCCCACTGTACGCATTCTGACTGCACTACAGTAATAGATACAGAGGCTTCAGCTGGGCTTTAAAGGTGAACTCCAGGCACAAAACCTTTCATATATACACTCTATATTTCCAAAGGCATCGGGACACCCCTCCAAATCATTGGATTCAGATGTTCCAATCACTTCCATGGCCACAGGTGTATAAAATCAAGCACCTAGGCATGCAGACTGCTTCTACAAACATTTGTGAAAGAATGGGTCGCTCTCAAGAGCTCAGTGAATTCAAGGGTCAACTGTTAGTGGTATTATAACAAAGTGGAAGCAACTGGGAACAACAGCAACTCAGCCACGATGTGATAGGCCACGTAAAATGATGGGATCAGCTCATGCTGAAGCACGCAGTGCCCAGAATTCACCAACTGTCTACAGAGTCAATAGCTAAAGACCTCCAAACTTTGTGTGGCCATGGCTTTCACATGCTAGGATCCCGGGTCTCCAGCAGTATGACATTCCCTCTGTACACTGCTCCAATCAACAGGACTGCTCAGGAAGCTAGAGCACTAATGACTGGAGCAGTGTGCAGGGAAAAGTGTTGGACTGCTGGAGACCCAGGCTGCTGTTTGTGTGTTAGAGCTGTGGTCTGGTTCTCCAATGTGCTACGAACATAGACTATTTTAACTCTTGCACTTACTATGTAAAATTGTAACAGTATATGTTTATACTGTACTGTATATGCAGTTTGACTGCATTATAGTAGTAACTAGCAGGGCGTCCCTAGGGTTGGTGTCACCCGGTGCCGAAACCCTTTGTGACACCCCCTCTGATGATCCCCGCAAGATGGATCGGATCTGCGGATTGAGCATAATGGATCAGAGTCCGATCCATTATCCTCCCCAATCCGCAGATCCAATCCATCCTGCAAGGATTGTCAGCTTGCAATCTATACGGGGTTAACTGATCTCTCCACGAAAAGATAAGTTTTAAAGCAAGCCGACGATCCCCGCAAGTAGGATCGGATCTGTGAATTGGGGAGCATAATGGATCGGACTCCTATCCATTATGCTCAATCTGCAGATCCGATCCATCCTGTGGGGATCATCGGCTTGCTTTGAAACTTACCTTTTCGTGGAGCGGGTCCAGTGTCTTCCTGTGCAATAGGTGTCACGTGGGCGCGCGCACCCCCGCACCTGCCTAGGGACGCCCCTGGTAACTAGTGAGGCTTTAGCTGGGCTTTAATGCAAGGTATCTAAACTAAGATCTAGATGTAGAAGATATCTGTGACTATTATGCCAGCCTTGGATGATGCAATTTCCTTTCCTGCAAACATGGATTGGTCCTGAAAAACAGCTTGATTTACCTACCAACACAGTCAGTATTGATGGGGGAATCCCTCCCGCAGAGCTATCGTATTCTGCCAGCGAGGGCGCGAGGCGAAGCTTTCCCCGCTGGCAATAATCGCATGAAAAATCCAACAGGCTGGTTGTACCAAAGTCATACAACAATTGAATTAGATACAATCAGCCTGCCCATAGATGGTTTGAATCTCAACTGGTCCCTGCTGAACTGGCTGAGATTCGAATCGTCTATGGTCGACTTTATCCAGTTACTATACTGATAGACAAGGGAAACATCTGTGTCACTCTGGGTAAGCGGGAAGTTGTCTGTGCTTGAGTCTGGTATTTACATTGCTGTCTGTCCTTTGTAGGATGATTGCAGAGGACGCAGAAGGAGGTTTATTTACTGTTACCCTCTTCAGAAAAGTCATTGATGAGTTTAAAATAAAAGCTCGAGAAAACAAGTAAGAATTGTGTTTATGTTCATCACTTGTGCTCACTAGGTAGATCTAGTGGATGTGTAATTGTCACCAGAACAGAAATAGAGGGAAAATCGTCCAGTGGGGACACTCCCTCACTTTAAAGGGATGTCCTCCTACTTCCTATTGTGACTATGGGACAAGGTGCGAAGAGAAATCTCTCCAGTGGGACACTGATGGTAAACAATTACGCCAACAGTGAGGTTATATAACTAGGACAGGTTAGCCCCACAACTTTCATACTTATTCTGCTTTTGGACAGTCAACACTTACACATTCCATGGTGATTGGATTCAAGTGAAAGTAGAATTATACTTACCTTCACTCCAGAGGTTTTGGTGTCCTGGAGCTACCCGCCAACTGCTGTCTTGCTTGGTCTGCTTCTGGATACCAATCCTTGACTGTTTTCATTGGCCTTCCTGAGATGACGTCACTCCCATGCATATGGAGGAGTTCATTCATCTCAGCCCTGCTGAAATTGTGCCCTGGGCTGTGCCTGAGACATGGGGGGGGGGGGGGGGGGGGGGATCAAAATCTGGTGCAGTTCTGCATAGAAACCAATCAGCTTCCAGGTTTTATTGTCAAAGTTTCACTGAACAAGTTGAAGTTAGAAGCTGATTGGCTACCATGCACATGCATGAAGGAAAAATGTGTTTAGTTTCAGATTCACTCGTTAAGTTAATAACCTTTATTCATCATATTCACTATGTTAGAATGATTTTTTTACAGAATTCATTTTGTATATTTGGATTCGTTTAGTATATTTGTTATTTTCAAATCGATTCAAAATTTGAATTCGATTTTCAGAAGATGGCTATATTCTTTTTAATGTATTCTATAATTATCTAGTCTATTTTTTCTATTCTATTCTATTATTTTATTTTCTATTCTATTTTTTTCTATTCTTTTATTTTCTATTCAATTCTTTTATATTCTATTCCTTTATTTTCTATTCTATTATTTTATATTATATTTCTTTATTTTCAATTCTTTTATATTCTTTTCCTTTATTTTCTATTCTATGTTGTTTTAATCTATTCTATTCTTTTATGTTCTATTCTATTCTTTTATATTCTTATCTGTTTTAGTGTATTCTGTTTTTTTCTGTTCTGTTCTATTCTATTCTTTTAGATTCTAGTCTGTTTTATTTTAATCTATTCTTTTTATATTCTATTCTGTTTTATTATATTATAATAAGCAGCCTAAATAGAAATCATCTTATTTCATTTTTATGCCTTATTGCATTTATTGCATTCGAATTCAAATTAATTGTCAAATTTGAATTTGGATAATTCGGTTTGTTATAATATATTTTGGATTCATTGAAATGTGTTACTAGTGTGATTTTAAACATTTGGATACCTCCAAATCTCTGAATAACAAACATTTTGTCTGAATTTCAATTCACAACGAAAGAGATCACAAGTCTAATTCTGAGTACTCTTTTAGTAAATCCCCCAAGTATGTCTCTTCTGCATAAAAAAATCCTGCCTGTTCCCCATTTTTGTGTTTGTTTCCTAAAGTTCCCCTTTAAGGTGTCTTAAGCGGAGTTCCACTCACCCTGTCAAAAAGCAAGTCAGCAGCTACAAAAGCTGTAGCTGCTGACTTTTAAAAAAACAGCCACTTACCTGTCCCTCGGTCCTGTGGTGTGTCCCCTGCAGCCCATTTTACCAGCCAGCCTGTATTCCAGGAGGCCGGCATCTTCAGTGTGGGCACCTGGCTGTGAAAGCTTGCAGCTTCACAGCCGGGCACCCACTGTGCATGCGCGAGTAGCCTTCCTGAATGGTCCTGTAGTCTTCTGGGACCTGTCACGTGTCCCAAAAGACTACAGGGAGGGTGGGAGGGCACCTTCCGCTTCTGATCGCCTAGGTGATCGGACCGGAAGTGGGAGCGGGTACCTGTCAAATTCGGGTACCCGCTCCCCCCCTACCCCCCAAAGGTGCCAATCCTTAATGGGGAGCGGGGGAGCAGTCCTTAAAGCGGAACTTCCCCTTTTGGGTGGAGCTCCACTTTAAGGTATGAATATGGTTGTTGGGGTATCTTTCTGACACTCTATGAAATGAAAGTGTGGCTTGGTAAGCTATGAAACATCTTCATCATTACAGGACAAGAAAAAAACATTTTTTTTTTTGGGTAGCAAGTACCTGTACCATTAGGTACTTTCTCCACTTCCCTATTCCTCACCTAGACATTTGTTGGATCTGCCCCACTCCCACCTGCAGCCTCCTGGGATACATCACCCCCACATCCCAGGAGGCTTTGGGACATTCTCCCCAAATCTGCACATCTCACGCATGCATGGTGGGGAGTGGCTGTGACTGAACCAGGGGCGGACTGACAACTCATGGGGCCCCCGGGCAATAGGGGATCATAGGGCCCCTGTGTCCTTGCCCAAACTCAAAAAAACCTATGAAAAAGGTACCAGGGGCATCTCATGGGGCCCCCTACTGACCCCGGGCCCTCGGGCAGTGCCTGAGTTTCCAAATGGTCAGTCTGCCCCTGGACTGAACAGAAAGTCACAGCAGGCTCCTGAATCCAAGATGGCGTCACATAAATGAAGCCAGAGATGAGGATTTCAGGTCTTTTAATGACAGTGCTGGACATCATGGGTTGGTAAGTACCTGTTTTGTAAAAGCCAGCGACTACAATACTTAGAACTGTTGTACTTTTTGCAGAGCTTGCTGAAGTTCCTCTTTCAGTGCAATATCTCACAAAATCAGAATTCAGTCTGAGGAAGTCAGATGAGTGTGAGAAGGATTCTGAATGGTGAATAGCAGCAATTAACCCCTTGGTGATGGCGCCTCCCAGCCGTTTAAGGGGTTCCTGACGCCAGGAGGCACTGCAGGGTTTAGGGCCATGTGACTGCCGTGATTGGCTGTCACAGCGCTCACATGATCCGAAAGGTCCCAATCACAAGTAGTGATCGGTACCTTTCCGTGAGGCGCCAAGAGAGCGCAGAGTGCACGCTCTTGGCAGATGTTGGTTTACTTTTGGTACGCAAATATGCAGCTGCTCGGTGTCAAGGCCCGGCCACTGAGAGGCCTCATATTTGCGTACTGTGGGCGTGAACAGGTTAATAATTACTATGATTAAATAAAGTCTATTTTTGTACAATCAGGTGGTTCCTTTCCTACATTATTGTCCTGTGTTTATTTACATGTCTTACCTGTACACTAGCTCTTCCAAGAAGCCATTAATGTTCATTCAATTACATTCTATTACAATCTGCTGTAACTCTGTACTCAATTCCAGGTTCATAGTGCGGGAGTTTTTTTTCAATGAGAAAGAGCTGCAGTCTGAGAAAGCTGAAATCATTAAGCTGGAGGCAGATAAGAAGCAGCAGTATGTAAGTATTGAACACAACCATACATGTATAGATGCTGTTATGAGCTGTGTTTGCTCTGTCACAGGATCCTGCTGAACTGTTCATGTATACCATCTGATGACTCCCTCTAGACCAGGGGTGGGCAACCTGCGGCTCTCCAGCTGTTGCAGGACTACAAGTTCCATCATGCAATGACTTCCATCAAGTCATTGCTGTAACTGTCAGTTTTGCAATGTCTCATGGGAAATGTAGTTCCACAACAGCTGGAGAGCCAAAGGTTGCTCGCCCTGTTTTAGGCCATTGTTTTTCAACATTTTTTTAGTCAATGCGCCCTTTATGAACATGTGAAGAAAAGCAAAAACAGGGTGCACTCTCTTTGTGCATTACCGTGGTGACACAAGAGTTTATTAAAGTGCATAAAAGTGCATACTCACAAACCAAAGGAGATTAATACAGAGACAAAGAGTCAGTGGTGACGGTCCCAAGGGATGGGAGACCCTTGATGAGGTAGGCTGACACGTTTCAGGAGACATACTCCCTGCTGAAGAAGGGAGTACGTCCCCCGAAACGCCTCAGCCTACCTCATCAGGGGTCTTCCGTCACCACTGACTCTTTGTCTCTGTTTTAATCTCCTTTTGGTTTGTGCACTGTTATGCATTTTAATAAACTCGTGTTTTACCACGGTAATGCATGAAGAGAGAGCGCCCTGTTTTAGCTTTTCTTCACCAGTACCAAGGTTTCCCGATTTTCCAAGGGCTGCACCTCAGTGAAAGACAGTCAAAGTACCCCTAGTCAGCATGAAGATTTGAGCGCTGGCTTCGTTTTTTGGATGGCCCTTTAAAAACATGCACAGTCTCGAGCTACCCCAACACTAAACTAATAGTTTTGCATCTACCAAAAAAAAAACAACAAAGTCAGTGCTATGGTACCAAACGTAGGCTGCTAGCAACAGTAAGGATTGATATATACACTCACCGGCAACTTTATTAGGTACACCTGTCCAATTGCTTGGTAACACAAATTGCTCATTAGCCAATAACATGGCAGCAACTCAATGCATTTAGGCATGTAGACGTGGTGAAGACGACTTGCTGAAGTTCAAACCAAGCATCAGAATGTGGAAGAAAGGGGATTTAAGTGACTCTGAATGTGTCATAGTTGTTTGTGCCATTCGGGCTGGTCTGAGAATTTCAAAAACTGCTGATCTACTGGGATTTTCACACACAACCATCTTTAGGGTTTACAGAGAATGGTCCGAAAAAGAGAAAATATCCAGTGAGCGGCAGTTGTGCAGACGAAAATGCCTTACTGATGTTAGTGGAGAATGGGAAGAGTGGTTAGAAATGATCGAAAGGCAACAGTGACTCAAGTAACCACTCATTACAACCAAGGTTTGCAGAACACCATCTCTGAATGCACAACAAGTCGAACCTTGAAGCAGATGGGCTACAGCAGCAGGAGACCACACCAGGTGCTACTCCTGTCAGCTAAGAACAGGAAGGAGGCTACAATTCGCACAGGCTCACTAAAATTGGACAATAGAAGATTGGAAAAACATTGCCAGGTCTGATGAGTCTCAATTTCCCTAGAGATGGTTGTGTGTGAAAATCCCAGTAGATCATCAATTTTTGAAATACTCAGACCAGCCTGTCTGGCACCAACAAGCATGACACATTCAAAGTCCCTTAAATCCCCTTTCTTCCCCATTTTGATGCTCAATTTGAACTTCAGCAAGTTGCCTTCACCACGTCTAGATGCCTAAATGCATGGAGTTGCTGCCATGTGATTGGCTGGTTAGCAATTTGTGTTACCAAGCAATTGAACAGGTGTACCTAATAAAGTGGCCAGGGAGTGTAAATCCTAATGGATATGTACAAATAAATATGTGCAGCACCACCAAAAATGTGTGTGAATGAATGAAATAAATCAGTATGTGAAATGAATCCATATTTTTTATTTATTTAGAATAAATCCAAAGTAAAAAAAGATGATTGCAATATGTGAGTGCAACTACTGTATATTTGAAAGCTGCCCGTAGATGGATTGAATCTTGGCCAGTTCAGGAGGGACCAGCCAAGATTCGATCCATATACGGGCAGGCTGGTTGTACCCAAGTTGATCCATTGATCAACTTCAGTACAACCAGCCTGTCTGATTTTTTAAATGGGATTACTGCCAGCTGCTATAGCCACCAACAGAGTTCTGCCAGCTGGGAAGGCGTCTTGCCGGCAGAACACAATAGCGCTGCGGGAGGGGTTCCCCCATCAACACTCACTGTGTTGATTGGGGAATCAAATTTTTTTCTTTCCTGCAACCTGTGGTTGCAGGAAAGAAAATCGAATCACCTATGACTTGCCCAACTAAGGCATTTTCATTTACGGTGCCCAGACACCCTGGTTTGCCATCAAGTTTCTTCAGGGTGTCGAGGAGCCTAGAAATTGCCCAAAAATTGTATACAAGCCAGCAGGTGGATCAAGCCTGCCTTTTAGTTACACAAATCTCAGGATTTATACCAGTTCTTATTATTGCCAATAGACTGAACTTAGCAAGTTGCACTGTGGAAGGACATTTACTCCAGAGCTTAATAAATGAGATAATGCTTCACTTTGCAAAGAATACCCAATCACATGCAAGGAAAATAAAAAGAACAGCATTTTTGCTTGCACATGATTTGATGATGGAAGTCAGCAGAGCTTCCCCTCATTTACCAAATTCTGGAGCAACTGCAAAGTGCACAGTTTATTTTCCTTTAGTAAATAAATCCCATTGTGTTCTGCTGGCCAGGAAGGCTCCTTTCTGGCAGAACGCAACAGCATTCTGGGAGGGCTTTCCCCATCAACATTGACTGTGTTGATGAGGGAGCCAAATGATTTTCTTTCCATGGGTGGAAGGTAAGAAAATCCATTCTTCTAAGGCTTGCCTTAGAAAACTCAGCATAATGTGAACGGATAATAAAAGCTGAGTTTACCCTTCTGAATAATAGGGAATTTATCGGGGTTTTGATCACACATAGCCAGTGACGTTCCAATGAAGCATCAGAAAACCTGAGGCTGACCTTGGAAATTAGAGACAAATAACCAACTGGGTCTGAGAGGTAAAACTATTCTGTTTTCCAGGGTCCTCTCCTGCGCTGGTTGAAAGTAAACTTCAGTGAAGCATTTATTGCCTGGATTCATATAAAAGCCTTGCGGGTATTTGTGGAATCTGTCCTCAGGTAAGGACCAACATGATAAGTCATCACATGGAGAATGGAAGCCATGAATACATTTACATAGGTAGCTGTTGAGGTAAGAGAAATACTATAGTGACAACTCTCGGTCTACTGGGACTGCTGAGATCACATCCAAAATGGCAGCACAAAGCAGTAGTTCCAGGGCTTTTGAATGTACACAAGGGAGGCCCCCTTTCTCTGCCAGCAGAGGATTTTACACACAATCTGGAGGCTGCAGCCACCAGGATTGTGTGTAAAACTGACAAGCAGTCTCCTATCTGTTGGAAGCATTTGGGCAGCTGCCTCCTGATTGCTTCCACACACCCCCAGTACCAGCACCCATCTGCGGGTCCGGGAGTGACATGATGGCAGATGCCAACAGGTGGACACGTCTGCTCTCCTCTCCTGTGACCCAGAAAGTGATGTGTATGATGTCACTTCCAGGTCACCTTGTCACTTTCCAATGCTACCATACCCAGGAAAGAATGTATTGCAGATCGCATTCCGTGGAGCCCAGCGGAGATCATCTTTTATATCCTGCATGTCACCAAAAAATCATCACATAGGGGACTTTTTGTCCCCTATGTGATGGGAAAAAAAAAGTTAAGCGAAACATTTTTTTTTTAGTTAATTACAAAAAAAATAAAGTTACACCTAAAATCCCCGCCCCCCCCATACACACATGTACAAACGTAAACATGCATCAGGGGGCGCCTACGCATGAAAACGTCTATTGCGATACACGTTACATACAGTATATATAGGGTACTGAAGTTTGTCGCCATTTCACAGACGCACACTAATTTAAGATTTGACATGTTGGTTATCTATTTACTCAGTGCAACCTCATCTTTTATATTTTACCAAAAATTTGGGTAATTTATTGCGTTTGCCACTTTAGTGTGTTTGTATTGAAGGTTTGAGTTTCCTTGGACCATTGCGGTAATATTGAGTGACATAAAATATTGGAACTACCAGTATTGTATTCTCTAGGGTTCCTACTTTCAGAATATATAGAATGTTTGGGGGTTTTGTGTAAGCTTCAGGCCTAAAATAATTTTTAAATGTGTGCAAAAAACACAAAAACTGCTCAGGCAGCAAAAGGGTTAAAAGGTAAACTATTTTCAATAAAAGAAAAAAAAAAAAACAAAACCTCTGGTATGGAGGTATGGTGGTTTCAGGTGGTGGAGGTTATCAGTTATCAGGGTGGTGGGAAGGGGAGCACAAACACAGTGGTGATTGAAGGGTGGTGGTGCTGTGGTGGTGAGGCAGGGGGGTTGTTGATGTGATGGTAAGGGGTGCCTCTCCAAGGAGCTGTCAGCTGTAACTCCAGATACAATCCTAAAGAAGCGGATGAGGGGAGGTCACAGTGCCTGTGTAAGATACAACAGAACATGAAGAGTAGGGAGGTGGTGTGAGCTGGGGCCATGACCTACTGCAACACAGTCTGTGGTCCCCTGCTGTAGGGACCATCCTGGATATGCTTTACCCTATATATGGATGTTGTCGGTTTTTTATGTTACTGCCCATGTGAAGTAGAAATACAACGTCATTCCCTGCATATGTCAATGTGGGAGGAGTTAAATAATACTTCCACTCACCACCAATGAGGATGGGGGCTACATAAAATTGCCACTGACCACGAGTGGGGAGAGGGGTTACAAAATACTATATAATACCAATGCTAAGTATTATTATTGTGGCCCCTGATAAGAACGCTGAGAGTTATTACTGCTGCCTTTGATTTCAATGCTGAGGGTTGTTTTTGGGGCTACTCATGCCTATGCTGGGAGTTACTATTGTGGCCACTGACACCAATGCTGGGGGTTCTTATTGCATTTACTATCACCAATTCCTGGAGTCATTATTTCATCCACTGGCACCACTGCTTGGGGTTATTGTGGTTAATTGTTATGCCTAATAAATTCAGTGTATGTCACATTCAACACTGGGGGTTATTATTGTGGCCACTGACAACCACTACCGAGCATTATTATTGCATTCACTACTAGCAATGCTGGGGGATAATATTGTGATCATTGACACCAATCCTGGGAGTTACTATTACTGCCACGGCAACCAATGCAGGCGTTATTATTGCATCCACTGCCACAAATTGCATCCACTGGTACCAATGCTTGGGGTTATTATTGTGGTCAGTTGTTATGCTTAATAAATGCAGTGTATGTCACATTCAACACTTTATGAAATCTGCCCCTCTGTTCTCTTTCAGTCTCAAAGCGAAACTGAAGTTCCTCTATAACAACAGGGACCAGGAAGGCTCTTTATTGTACAAGAGACATGCATCATCTCCTCTGCAATAAAATGCCCCTACCTGCCTGTTTGCTGTTTTCTCTGGAGCTGTAAACTGAGCTGCTCATGCTTACAGTGCCAGGCCCATCTCTGTGTGTCAGGATGACTAGTTCCTGCGCATGCACAGGAGTGATGTCATCTCATGCCGAACAATGATAAACACAGAAGATGCCGGCACCAACGCAGGAGCATTGGAAAGATACGTTTATCCCCCTTTAGTTCTATTTTAAGTCTTGTTTATATGAGTTTGGGTATATACAGTATTTGCAGTTGTCATTTAGCTAAAGGTGGAAATAAAATATATCTAATGTCTTAGAAATTGTAATTTACTGACAACTACAACTGTCTTTCCACTCATATTATAGATGGCACCCACTGTTAGGTACTTCTTGTAACTCATATTCAAATTCTTCTATTACTCAGGTATGGTTTACCGGTGAATTTCCATGCAATGATTTTGCAACCCAACAAGAAATCTATGAAGAGACTGCGAGATGTACTAAATGCCCTTTTCAGACACCTGGATGAGGCAGCTGCTGCCAACATGATGGATGTAAGTAAATCCAGAGAGGGCCCGTAAGGCTAGGTTCACATCTGTGGGGGTGGTGCCGCTGCGGATCTGCATGAAAATCCATGCAGCCGCACCACCCGCACAGAGGAATGCGGACCCGCGGACGGGGACCTTTAGTTCTAATGGCATGCCGCCCACACTGGAAAACGCAACCATACTGGGAACCGAGGTTCCTGTGTAGACTGCATTTTCGGATGAATTGCATGGACTTCTTCCCTGTGTGTCATGGGGTACGGGAGTCCATTCAAATGAATGGGCTCTTGTGCCCGCATGGCCGCATATATATGAACTGGGGCTAACACATTGCACTAATACAACATAGATATCTTCCATGAACATTAGTCTATTTTAACTTTCATGGAAGATATATATGAAAACCCTAACTAAATGACATTTAATTAGCTAAATCAGTGTGTATCATTAAAAAAAAAAATATATATATATATAGTTTTAAAAATACTTGTTATAACCTTTTTTCCATCCAGAATTCAGGAAAAACCCAGAGAAAAAAACTGGCAGATATAAGAGGACGGAGAACTGTCAGACTAAAAGTGACTTTTTAAATGACATCACCATATACACCTTACAGGACACTTTAGTAATTAGGTTTACATCTACTTTAATATAGGTTATTTTTAATTACTTGTGACATCAGAAGCCTTTTCAGCCTTAATGAGTATTAGTTTAGAAAATACACTGATGATGTGTTAACGTAAGGCAACTGTATTCATTTGTGTCTTCAATATATGCCTGGAGTTCAGTTTTAATTAATGTAGCCCAATGTATTTTTTCAATGAACTAACTGCAGCTGCTGTTTTCCCAGGTTGGCATGGATATCCCTGGCTTACAGCTGAACACACAAGAATATTACCCCTATGTCTGCTTCAAGATTGACATGACCAGTATAGACTTTGATTCTTAGTACTAGAACATTCCTGCAGAAGATGTAATGGTGAACTCCAGATACTATGAGACCAGTTACACTGTTATTACTGCCTAGTCTGTTATAGCACCAATGGACTTCGTCATGCTCTGACCTACAATCATGGTGTCAAGCCAGTAATATGTGATCAAGCTGCAGCTGCTGTCATCGTCCATCACGCAGACATAATTGCAAAGTATTTATATATGTAAATTATATTTTAGCATATTTGTGGGAGGCTGCACTTAATGGCCATTTGTCTTTCTTAAGCTAGCTAATTATGTATGTAAAATGTATAGTTTATGTGTAACATACTGTCTTGAACAGTAGGGTTAATGTGTAAAAAGTCATCTTGGGACTTCCTAGTAATGCTAAAGCCATGCTAGTTTCCTTTTAGATGCTCAACAATACAATTATGAAGCAACTAGCATGTCTCCTGTGTCCTGTCTCCAATCATAGAAAACACACAAAAGAATTGTATATAGTACCAGAAGCTGGAGAGCTTTGCAGCATAAGAAACTGAAAATAAGTGAAGTAAAAAACAATGTCTTGGTCTCCAGGGGAGCAATAAAAACAGGTGGCTGAGCTGTGGTTTTACAGTCTTCTGACTGCCCACTGGAATTCCAACATTACAGCCTGACACAGCAATTTTAACTTGGGTTACAGAGTTTGAACTGCAGCACGGTCTGTAAAACTTGCCCATTGAGATCTATGGTGCGGGGCTTGCATGGTCCTGCAACCTGAAGTTGCCATTCTGCAATTAAAACAACAAAAAAAAAGTAAAATGAACAGACTCCGATTTTGGAAGATACAAAGCATATGGGCCATTTCAAACAGGTCGCAAAGGAGCAGTAAAAACTGGTGGTTGATCCACATTTTAACTGTACGCTGATCACCCACCTATATCCTAACAATGCAGTTGGATATATGCCATAGAGAAAAGCAGACAGACAGATTTAACTCAGCTTACAGAGTTTGATATGAAGTATTACCTGTCAACCTCACCCAATGATACCAATGAGACCGTGCCGCGATGGTGAGCCTCCTGCTTGGATCACATTTACAACGTGACAATACAATATCCCTCCTGAGTGCCTGCCAGCAGCTGCTCTGCCGCTCACTGAAAAACCATTCCTCGTGTATCGCTTATTAGAGGGTGGTACTGCCTGCTGCCTATGTAAAAGAGCCCTAAATGTAAGGAAACTAACCAGTTTGTGATAGAACTCAAACTATTAGCCAGACTGTATATTCGAATACTGAGGAAGTGATTTGTTAGAGCCAATATTGAACAAACGCCTCCCAAATTACAAAATACATTACTGCAGGAGGGTGATGACCTTAAAAGATCTTTCTGAAGCAGTCATGATTGGATTACGAACCACGTCAAGGTAATGGCTGGATGACATCACTGTGCAAATGGGTACCAGAATTCGGCCATCTTGAGAGGTATCAGAAGCCAAAATCCAGCCTTAAAGGGGAAAATTGTCTGATTTTAAAGAGGCGATCTATTTTAAGTGCACTGGATGTAGTACACTCAGTTTGTGAGTGAGTTTTTAACCCTTTTAATAAACTATATATGGAAGATTTACAGTATCTCACAGAAGTGAGTCCACCCCTCACATTTTTGTAAATATTTTATTATATCTTTTCATGTGACAACACTGAAGAAATGACACTTTGCTACAATGTAAAGTAGTGAGTGTACAGCTTGTATAACAGTGTAAATTTGCTGTCCCCTCAAAATAACTCAACACACAGCCATTAATGTCTAAACCACTGGCAACAAAAGTGAGTACACCCCTAAGTGAAAATGTCCAAATTGGGCACAAAGGGTCAATATTTTGTGTGGTCACCATTATTTTCCAGCATTGCCTTAACCCTCTTGGGCATGGAGTTCACCAGAGCTTTACTAGTTGCTACTGGAGTCCTCTTCCACTCCTCCATGACAACATAACGGAGCTGGTGGATGTTGGAGACCTTGTACTCCTCCACCTTCCATTTGAGGATGCCCCACAGATGCTCAATAGGGTTTAGGTCTGGACACATGCTTGGTCAGTCCATCACCTTTACCCTCAGCTTCTTTAGCAAGGCAGTGGTTGTCTTGGAGGTGTGTTTGGGGTCGTTATGTTGGAATACTGCCCTGCGGCCCAGTCTAAGAAGAAAGGGGATCATGCTCTGCTTCAGTATCTCACAGTACGTGTTGGCATTCATGGTTCCCTCAATGAACTGTAGCTCCCCAGTGGCGGCAGCACTTGTGCAGGCCTAGACCATGACACTCCCACCACCATGCTTGACTGTAGGCAAGACACACTTGTCTTTGTACTCCTCACCTGGTTCCCGCTACACACACTTGACACCATCTGAACCAAATAAATTTATCTTGGTCTCATCAGACCACAGGACATGGTTCAGTAATCAATGTCCTTAGTCTGCTTGTCTTCAGCAAACTGTTTGCAGGCTTTCTTGTGCATCATCTTTAGAAGAGGCTTCCTTCTGGGATGACAGCCATGCAGACCAATTTGATTCAGTGTACAGCTTATGGTATGAGCACTGACAGGCTGACACCCCCACCCCTTCAACCTCTACAGCAATCATATATCTATTTCCCAAAGACAACCTCTGGATATGACGCTGAGCACATGCACTCAACTTCTTTGGTCGACCATGGCGAGGCCTGTTCTGAGTGGAACCTGTCCTGTTAAACCGCTGTATGGTCTTGGCCACCGAGCTGCAGCTCAGTTTCAGGGTCTTGGAAAACTTCTTATAATCTAGGCCATCTGTATGTAAAGCAACAATTCTTTTTTCAGATCCTCAGAGAGTTCTTTGCCATGAGGTGCCATGTTGAAATTCCAGTGACTGGTATGAGACAGTGAGAGATATAACACAAAATTTAACACACCTGCTCCCCATTCACACCTGAGACCTTGTAACACTAACAAGTCACATGACACCTGGGAGGGAAATGGCTAATTGGGCCCAATTTGGACATTTTCACTTAGGGGTGTACTCACTTTTGCTGCCAGCGGTTTAGACATTAATGGCTGTGTGTTGAGTTATTTTGAGGGGACAGCAAATTTACACTGTTATACAAGCTGTACACTCACTACTTTACATTGCAGCAAAGTGTCATTTCTTCAGTGTTGTCACATGAAAAGATAGAATAAAATATTTGCAAAAATGTGAGGAGTGTACTCACTTCTGTGAGATACTGTATATATTGTGCAATGAGATTCTTTTCATTCTTTTGAGCAAATTTATGGAGTAGTGGTGTTTCTTGTGAGGATAGACACCGACAGAGCCCCTTTAAAGGGCAAGGTGCATACTGACATAGTGTAACACAGGTCAAAACCTGAGGTAAGCAGCCTGTTTGGAAGGTGGCAGAGTCACTTTATGTGGTGGTGATTTGTTCCAAATATCTGCACTGGTGCATGTTCTTTCATTTATATGGATTTTAATCAAGGTGGGAGAAGAAATTAGTGGACTTTTTTTATATATATATATATATATATATATATATATAGACATCTATTGTCTCACTGGGGATTGTTTTTTTTACACTATTTTTTGTGTTATTTGAATGTTTTGCACAATAGTAGATTACATTTTTTTCAGTCACATGTATTTATTAACTTTATGTGGATGTAATGTGTTTATACGAGTCTTATGTAGTCACATGATTTCATCTAATTTGTAGATATTTTTGATTGCGCAGAGTATATATATATATATATATATATATATATATATATATATATATATAGATAGATAGACCCCTTTATTTACATATTTGAGATTACAAAGAAACATTTGTGCTTTCAGAAGGAGGAAATTCCTGCAGAGAAAATTAAAAGAGAACTCTAGGCAGATATTAAAAAAAAAAAACACAAAAACGAATGCAACTCTATATCATGAATACATTTTTAGATGCATTATTTTTTGCATTTAATTACTGCCAGGGAAATCTTTGGATTGAAAGTGAATATTTGATATTTTATCTTTTAATGGGCTGTACATTTTCTCTAGTTATTTTTGGGTTAAGTTGTGCTTTAAAGACCATAAAACCTAAAGACCATAAGAATGGAATTCCTGCATGGGATACTTTATGTTTCAGAACATTAAAAATTACATAAAAAGGAATGCTTCAATGCAAGAGTCTACACCTTGAGATTGCAGCCAATCACATGACTGACATCAAAGGAACTTTAATCCACTTCGTGTTCACAAACAAATCTCCTGTGGTGAATTATGGAATCATGTGCTGGGCAGAGGCATTAGGAATTATATAACAGGATGTACTCACATATTCAGTCTTTCACCCTCCAAAATGACTAATTGATATGATGGGTGCACTTTTATAACAATTAGCCATCAGTTTGTCAAAAAATATTTTATTCGGAAATTAAATCAAGCGGATCAATTTGCTGATGAAAATACCGAAAACATAAAATATGTTAAACAAAATAACAATTGCAGCATCAACTGAGGAAATATTTAGGAGACAGGCGTTTTTTAAATGCCCCCCAAGTCCAAAATGGCATTACCATTATTTTTTTTCAACATACCCCTAAAAGAAGCCCACCCACACAAAAAAAACATCAGTTTTCTGCAAAACCTAAATCGCATACAATGAAACTCGCTGTTACAACAATTCATAGAATTTTTCAGTATTCTCCCGAAAGGAACTGTCCATTGGTATCACTGAAGGCCTTCTCTTCAAGTGCACAAGTAGGTCTCGGATTAAAATAAGAGGCCATCACCAGAGTCCGCCAGTGTTCTGGATGAACAGATGACCACCAGCAGTTAAAAGTTCCTCCAAGAAGAGGTATGGTGTAACAATACAACAGGGAGGTTTGTGTGTCACTTCACAGTTCATCCTTGTCAAATTCATCCAGATCTATATCGCTGAGATCAATATCATCCTCCATTGGTAGCTAATAAAACAAATCAAATTGAAGATCAGTATAAGTTAATCATGAAGGAACTGCATATTAGAAAAAAAACAACAACCATATCCTATTTTACTCAAGAAGTTTTCGGATGTTGAACCGATGCTCTGAAACTTTTAGCAATTTCCTAAAAAAGTCATTTGTTCAGGGACTTCATCTAATGCCTCATCATATACTACTTGTTCACACTATGTGCAGTGACTGGCATTTTTCCACACTGGATAAATGCCAGTAATAGCAAGTGCACATAGAAAACACTGGTTTTCTATGTTCCCCATTCACACAATAACACTGGTGCGATGTGTGGTGCGGTGCAGTGCAGTGCAGAACAATGCACTATGAAATGCACATCACACCACTCACAGCTAGACCTCACACCAACAGCTGCCTGCATTGTAAATTGTTGCATTTTATCATGTGGGCTAGCATGTACCAGCCCCTAAGGGAAACATGATCCATGAGAAACAAATGCTGCCAAGTTGACCCTCAATACAATGGGTCACTGATCTGAAATAAACCTGCAGATAAGGACTGTTAACTTTTACTTCTGGTTTTGCTGGTGCACATTAATGGCTACATATTTACCTGCTCACTGCAGTGCCAAAGAGTGTTTGCTATATCAGGGGTGTGGAAATTAAAAAAAAACAAAAACAAAAAAAAAAAAAACTTGTCCAAGGAATAAATCAGGGTCTCAATCTACTTGTCCTGATAAAATAAAAATCATTTTTTTGCAGGATGTAAAATATGAAAGGCTGCTGTTCATTTGGCAGATGTGCGTTTAAAAATGAAAGGGGCTTTATGGTGACTTAAACCATTTCTTAGAACCCCCAATCACTATATATTTGTAGAGGCCCTAGAGAATAAACTAGCGGGTGTTGCAATTTTTTACTTCACACAGTATTTGCGCAGCTGTTTTTCAAAACGCAATTAAAAAAAAAACAAACTTCAATTTGAATGTAAAAAAACCACAATATATATACCACTTTTCTGGTAAAGAGGATGTTAGGCTGAGTAAATAAATATCAAACATGTCAAGCTTTAAAAATGTGCCCGCCCATACAGCGGCAACAAACGACGTAAATTTTACTATCCAGTCTACTATCCAAGAGCCATCACAGGTTACCACTTTAGACTTGCAAAGGAATTAGAATTACTGTCCATGATCTGACGTTCGCATATGTGGGACTGACACACACGTTCACTGTGTAAAAAAAAAAATAGCATTTTTAAAGCATCCCTGTCTCACAAAGGTGGTTTTAATTTTTTTTTTTTTTATCGCTTTTATTGCCGTCACAAGGAATAAAAACATCCCTTGTGACAGCAATAGGCACCGATGGGTACTCTTTATGGAGATATCTGGGGTCAATAAGACCAATGTCCCTCCTCTGCTGAAAATGCTTAAAAAGCATTTGATTACACCAAGATCGTGAGATTAAATGCTTTCCATTTTTAAAACTGGCCTTGTGGAAACTGGAAGTGATGTATGGTCACCGCTTCCTGTTTCCTATATCATAGAGGTGGACAGAGCAGTTCCGGTCTTTGTCTGCCTCTCAGAGGTGTAGCTAGAGGCCCCTGCAAGAAATCAGGAAGGGCCCCTGGGGCCCTTTCCATCGGTCTTGGGACCGTTCCTACTGATCCCAAAGCCCTCTATTATGGTCCCGCAGTGGGTCCCTCCCATGGTGGTGGAACACCAGAGACCGGGCGCAAGTGTGACCTTTGGGACCCTGGTAGTTCCGCCACTTGGTTAATCGTGTGCAGTCACCAGGGATCTTCTAGCAATGAAAGTTTAAATGCTAGACGATCCCTGGTGACTGGACATGATTAACCCTTTATTGCTCTTGGAAACGCATGATTAAGCCTTTCAGATCTGTGCTGGAAGCGTATGATTAACCATTTCACTGCTAAACGATCCGTAATGGAAATGCATATTTCCACCAGGGATCTGCCAGCAATTAAACGGTTAACCATACACTTCCAACAAAGATCTGAAAGGGTTAATCATGCACTTCCTACTGGGATCTCATCTGCCAGCAATGAAAGGGTTAACCATTAAGGTCTATCCATTAAATACATGTTCCTCTCCTATGGGGGCTCCTAAAATTGGAGAGTTAGGAACTACAGAATACGGAGGTGCCATGACAAGGCTCTGTAGCTTATGCATGTATTTACAAATGTGTGCTAACTAAACCCCTGTTTTTAACGCATACTGTTAAGACAGGTTAATTCAGTTTGTTTGCGGGCTGGCGGCCAAGTTAGAGCTGGGAATTCTCTTTTTGTTGTTTGACACGAGTCGCCCTTCCATGTGCTCCTTGCTGTGAAGGCCAGTTATAAACTGGGGCAGTGGCCATTTTTTGGAAGGGTTAACCATGTCCACTCACTATCTTCTAGCAATAAAAGTATTAGCATGTGCTTCCTAATCACTATCTCCCCACTCAGTAGCTGCTGCACAGCACACATACCAGTCCTGCAGCCTTCTCTCACAACAGCACACCTGTGGCAAGGAGTGATCACCTCTGAGGCCAGCCACATTCCCTCCTCGAGTCCCGTTCAATCACTGCGAGAAGGCTTCACCTCGGGGTTAGGGATGAGTAGGACACTGGAGAGCTGGCTGATCTCTGCTGGGGGAGGAGGTACTGATCTGTCCCTGGCATGCTCTCTGCAGCGGGTTCCGCCACTGCTGCCTCTATTATCAGCCAGCGGAAGCACCAGATAGTCGATGGGGACAGCCCTCAGAGGGCGGCTCTAAACCCTGCTGCTTCCCTGCAGCAGGGCTAAATGTGTAAAAAAAAAAAAAAAAATCCTTCTTGCTACCATGTCCTGGGCGATAGGGATTCAACATCCCTGTATATACAAATATTTATAAATGATTGAAAAAAGTGTTTCCCACTTGAAATGAATATTGGATGTCTTTATAAGACTGCTGTATGCAGGAATGTAAAGTGTCTTTACTATGAGCAACAGCAGCCACTAAGCAGTCTGTTTGTTCACTGTCATCTGAATGGACCTGCTACCAATTTTCACTAGGGTGGACTTGTGACTGAAACCAGAGAATATGGCTCCCAGTTCAAGAAAGGACTGAGCTGTGCAGGTTTTACCTAGGATAAGCCATTTCACTCGTTATCAAATGTTAATTTTATACAGGCCAGCAAATGCAGAAACATTTCATCAAATCTATTTTCATTTCTTTTGATTGTAATTGTAAATGAAAATTACAGTATTAAAACAGATGCACATTGCAACCATCAGGCTGCAGGCTTGTTTTGTCAATGAAGCCTCCAGTCTGCATGCGATCACTGTGATAGCTGACAGTTATGTTGGCTGGTGGCTCTCAGATGGGAAGGTGCCTATTAACATATATTCACTATGGGACATCATGCTAAGAAACATCAATGGACAGATTGTGGGCACTAAGAAGTTAAGACACAACAATGTGTATAACCATCTATTCAGTTTTTATTGAATGCTGAATATGACTGTTCAGGCAGGCACACCGGTAGATCACCACATTTGGCAAATAGGCCACTAATTTCTTTGTAGATAATAATGTCTTTGTGAACAGTGTCTACAGGAAGGACTTTACAGCAGCAACACACATTCATTATAACACATATCAAGGTAAAGGATGTCTCTGATCTGACCTAATGTTAATGTAAAAGTCTTGGAAAGAGGTAACAGGTCTGCTTAGATGTAAGCATTATTTATAGGTATGTGCTACATGGAGTAATTGCACTAATTTGCCATCTTACCTCTCCATCCTTGCCATCCCAAGCCTCAACTTTATTGACCTTGGGGAGTGCACCTCCACCTACAGGTGCTGTAGAACCCCGTCCAAATGAAAGCTCCCTGAAAAAAAGGGCGTATCAATTAAAATGTTAGAAGTGGTCAACATTCCCATTGGATAACAGATCTATATTATTAATATTCTGCATAGCAATTTAGACGGCTTATAGGACAACTCTTAGAAAGCTTTTTGCAGTAGATTTAATCAGAAACCAGTACCGAAAAAACTAGAAAAAAGGGAAGGTCAAGACCAAATCCTTACCTTAAGAATTCATTAATGCCCTGCTCACTGAAAGAACCTTTCAACAGTGCAAACTTCATTTTTCGAGCATTGACAGCAGCCATGGCTGGATAACCAAATCCACCAATACCCAGAGCGGTCTCCATATCCAGCTGGGCCCCAGCCTCTGCCCAAAGCCATCTGGAAAAAGAAATAAGGTAAGAAACTATGTTTATACCTCAGCTAATAACTGCCCACCATATAACATTGGCTACATGTATTTCTTTAAACATACTACTAATAGAACATCATTTTCCTCAGAAAAGTCTGCTTTAAGCCAAATACAGTGAGACACGCAGCTTTACTTCTTATTGGAATAGCATGCACATGTACCAACAATGATTAAAGGGTGTTACAAGATGAACAAATCTGAACGAAGGAGGAACAATCTCATAAGATTATACCCATTATAACATTTACTGGTAATGAGAACAAGCCAGGCCATCTTCTTACCCCCACATCTTCTTCTTGTACTTGTCTGCGAGCTTGAGCATGACTTCCAAATAGGAGTTTCTTCCTGCAGCACCTGCAAGAAGATCAAGATTCAGTTAAAGGAAGATAGATCCCCTTCAAAAAATAGAAAGAACAACAAAAAAACATTCGTTGACAGCCACTTATTGTGTGATCCACTTTTGTAATGATGTATCATATGAGCATGGACAAATCAAATCCCAGTCACCACATCTAATTTGCAAAATGCTGTAAAGTGGGTCCCAAATAAATGACCCCACCAATGTCAGCTTACAAAACCATCCACAACACTGCCCCTAGCTACATCACCAACCTCATACACAGATAGCGCCCAAATCGCCCACTCCGCTCCTCCCATGATATCCTCCTCTCTAGCTCCCTCATCACCTCCTCCCACGCTCGCCTCCAGGACTTCTCCAGAGCCTCTCTATCCTCTGGAACTCCCTACCACAGCATGTCCGGTCAGCCCCCACCCTGTCTGCCTCTAGGCGATCTTTGAAAACTCACTTCTTCAGGGAAACCTACTCCACCTCCACCTAAGAACTGTACTTGAATCACCTCCCCCAGATCATTCCCCGCAGCCATCACCTTTTGTATCACCTCCCCCTTCCTTTAGATTGTAAGCTTCAGGAGCAGGGCCCTCATATTCCTTCTGTGCTGAAATGTATTGTAATTGTATTGTCTCCCTTATATTGTAAAGCGCGCTGCGCAAACTGTTGGTGCCATATAAATCCTGTATAATACTAATAATGTCTATCAATTCATACAAATTATGTGCTATCCATAACCACACCATTTCATACAAATCATGTGGTCCCTATGTCTACACTAATTATGCGGTCTCTATCAATTCCTACAAGTGATGCGTTATCCATGACCATAACATTTTTATACAAGTCACGCAGCCCCCACTCAAGCTAACAGGACATTGCTTTCAAATAAGACTGATATGGTTACAGCACAGTAGAGTTTCACCAAGTAATATTCATACGGATCTTCATGTATCAAAGGGTCATTGCCCTTTTCTTTTCTACAGCACTCAATTATAAATCGAACCTAAACATCAAAAAGGTGTAAAAACCTGCACTAGTTGGCGGTTATGTCATAATACAGGCAGCGCTTTATACATGAAGCCCAGGTGGTACACATTTGCCATGTAGAGACTATGTCAGCCTATTGTAGAAAGGGTGTTATTTGCTTAAAGGATAAGTTCACATTTGCAAAAAAAATAATAAATGCACATTTTATATTGCAGGTAAAAAAAAAAAAAAAAAAAAAAAAAAAAAAAAAAAAATGAATTTTTTTGTCTGTAGGAGCCTGGAAAGCATTGCACCAGCGATCAGCAGATCGCTGATGTCATGCAGGTCTCCTGCAGCCCTGTCAGAATATTTGCTTGCCAAAACGGGATGTATGGGCAAGCAGTTATACTGACAGGAAGAATGAATTAACTACCACATCAGTTCATTGAGGACTACAAGCTGATAGCCGCTAAGGCTGTCAAGATTTATAGGCTCTCATTCACAAATGACTGTGCATGAGTGACGCGGCCATGTGGGCGGAGCCCCACATGGGAAGGTGTTTTAAAAATTTGACAGCTAGTGAAGGGGGAGAAGATCCCCCGCTAGCTGTCAAAGCGGGGATTGGGGGGGGGAGTGGGGGCTGGTCTGAACTTAACATGTTACACCCTGAATATGGTTGTAACATGTTACGAAAAGTGAACTAATCCTTTAAATATGGATAAAATCAAGAGTGCAGGAAGGTGAACTGAGAAAACCAAGACCTCTAGCTGGGTTATAATCTAGAATAGGTGGAGTATAGCGGATACATTAGTAGGGCCACAGACATAAAAGGAAAGACAGAAATGTTAATAGATTACAGACTACAGATTAATGACTTGGCCATGTAGTGGCCAAGTCATTTTCTGGCTTTATGTGTCTTAGATATTCCAACAGAGAGGTTTCCCCCCTTTCTACATTCCAGTGCCTTATGTCTTTTTCTGTGCAATATGAAAAAAGTATTTGAACAGGTAAAGTTGGAACCCTTCATTACAACCACAGCTAGTGTGTGACTTCAGAACTGCATCACAGAAATCTCACCAATGAGGTCCTCAAGAGATATAAGAAATTGTCAGATGGATTAGGCTACCAGACAACTTTAAAAACTGTAAACAGTTATGGATGGCTCAACCCCTATTTCAGGTGAACTAGATTTTCTTTCAGTCACTGACTTCTTACTCTGTTTTATTAGGAGCCCTACGGAGCTATGAATAGAAGAGAGTGAATGTTATGGAGTTACCTGTGTCGAGGATATGAGGCAATACAGCGATGATACACAGCTGGTGGTCCTCACATGTCTTCTTTACAATGTCCTCATTCAGGATCTGAAAAACACCAAGTAAGCATTGCTGCTGATTGAGACACCCAAAACCAAAAAATAATGTGTAACATTTCTAACACTAAAAATGTCAAACTTTCAGTCAATACGTAAGCTATGGTAGTTAACTGGAGACAAAAACAAAAAAAAGCATATAAAAAATTACACACTTACCTCAAAGATCTCCGGTGGCGGGGCGTTCTCAGAGAATAAGTCAAGAGCTCGGGCAACAATATCGGCCTTTGTTCGTCCTCCATCATAGTCAATAGGTTCCTCGCCTTTATTGAAGATTTTTATTGTAGGGAAGCCTCGGATCTACAAGGGCAAAAAAGAAGTATCCGTTATCTGCATTGCTGAAAGATACAGGGTAATTTTTGTGCACTTTTCACCGACTCTGGATCAAACAATAATTTTTTAATTTTGGGTAGAGTGGAGGAGTCTTCACAATATTCAGGTTTGTTTGCTTTACTGTTGTGTACCTGGTGGGGAGATACCCTAACATCCTGTGTGGTCTGCAGGACAGCAATTAGCTGAAATCTCTCCCACAAAGATGGATATCATTCACAGCAAAGTAAGTGATAGAACATCTGTCAGTTATGTGTCCCCTTGAGACAGACTTTTAAAATCTGAAATAGCGGACAGGTTTTTCATGCTAACTGGTAGCCTACAGATTATCGAACATGATCATAGATTAACAAATAGTTAACAATAAAACTAGATTGCTTATTTTGCGCAATACTTACTCCATATCGACTAGCAAGACCCTGGTGGACGGTGGCATCAACAGCACCCAGTTTAACTTTCCCTTTGGTTTGTTCAGCAACCTCCGTGGCAGCAGCTGCCCATTCTGGTTCCAAGCTGGAATGTAATTGAAAAGATAAGGTTTCTTTAAACATGGCAATGCATTTTTTAATTTAAAATATCTTATAAAGAATCCCACTATAATGACCACATGACAAACATCAATGTTATTTCAGTAAAACAAGTAACCTTTGTGTGGGGAAAGCCACACTTAATTATCTGCCTCGACATGTCCCGGCCATCAGTGGTGGAAAGGCAGGTAACAGGTATCATGTCCTAGCCATCAGTGGTGTAGGATTGGGCAAAAAAACAATATGTCCTGGCCTTCAGTGGTAGGAGCATGCTACAGGACATAGGTTCTGGCCAGATGTAAGGAGGCAGGCACTACCAACATGCCCTGGCCATCAGTGTGGGGGGGCACCGAAAACACGTCCTGGCCGTTGGTGGAGAGAGTGGGGACCAGCAACATGTTCTGGCCATCAGTGTAAAGGGTGGGGACAGGCAACATGTTCTGGCCATCAGTAGTCAGGGTGGGGATAGGCATTGTGTCCTGGTCATCACTGCTGGGGGCAGGCTCTGACATATTCTGGCCATCATTAGTGAGGGTGGGGACAGGCATCATGTCCTGGTCATCAGTGCTGGGGGCAGGCTCTGACATATTCTGGCCATCAGTAGTGAGGGTGGGGACAGGCAACATGTCCTGGTCTTCAGTGCTGGGAGCAGACTCTGACATATTCTGACCATCATTGCTGGGAGTATAATGTAAGAAGAGTTGAAATTGAAGCGCCACAGCACTGCGAAGAGGTCAGATACAACTTTATTCCATTAAAGGTCAGAGGTATAATTCAAGAAGTATCCAATGCATTTCGGGGGTCTAATTGCAACATTCATCAGGGCTTGAATGGCAACAAAGTGAACAAACCAGAAGTGAACTGGACCTACAATGGCATTTTTTCCAGTATGAATTGAAGGCACAGGCCTGATCAGCACCTTGTGTGGCAGAGATGTGAAGACAGTGCTGGGGGCAGGCTCTGACATGTTCTGGTCACCAGTGTTGGGGGCAGGCCTGAACCACTATTGCATGACCATTAATTGTGGCGGTGGACAAAAACAGCAAGTCACTGCATTTATTACAATGGCAAACTTGGTGCAGTGATTGCATTTGAGGGGATAGCACCAAACCTCGAAATGAAAAAAATAAGACCTATTCCTTATTCGGTTTACCAACCCTATACACCACTGTACACATCTGACTAAATTCAGCAAAAAAAAAAAAACAAAAAAAATTCAAACAAAACAAAAGAAAAACATTGGGGTAAGGAGTCTAGGGAATGCTACAAGTCGTCCAAAAGGCTCCATAGTTTAGGAAGCATGAAGTTATCTCTGTAATCTCGTTTGGTTACATTTACTGTTGAAATGAAGCTCTGTATATGAAGTAGAAAATACTTTGCATCCAACAGCACATTCTAGTATTCCTTTTTAAATGGCACTGTGAGTGGAGCTTTTATGAAAAGTCATCATCACTCAGGTGTGCCTGGGCAGCACAGTGTCTACATACACATCTGTTATGTTCTGACTCTCAATAAGTTTAGCAGTGCACAGACAACACATTGACATGGTTTTAGTAAATGAGTTGAGAATATTCACTCAATTAATCATAGCTGTATTAACTTTGAACAAACATGCAGATAAAGTAAACTGTAATTTTAAATGGTAGTGACAAAACAAAACAAAAAAAACTAACTCAGATTGAACTGGATGGACTGGTGTAATTTGATTGGATAACTGAAGTGACTCTTCATTCAATTAAGTGAATATTCTGGAGTTCTATAGTAAATCAGCCTCAATATTATGGGTGTTTAGTTTAATAATCAGAAACTGAGAACACGTTGTTAGGCATTTTAAGACATACAATCAACAAATCCACAAAAAAAAACTACAGAAAAAGATTTTCGTCATCCTTCTGTAATGCACACTATAATTTTTTCCATAACAGGGCCATAGGCAGTATTCTACAGCTCACTGTTCTAGGTCAGCAATTCAGCCAATTTTACCTATAGGCCTTGAGCTACATTATACATTAACTGTAAAAACTAAAATGTGACAAGTGGCTTTAGATAACCAATTCCACACAGTTATAACACATATTTAGGGGCTATTGCACATGTCCGAGTATCGGCAGTTATGCACTTATAGCTGAGCACAGTGTATTTTGTAATGCATGTCGAAGGGCAAAATTGTGCTGCAGATCTGGCTCCATGGTGCCACAACAACAGACGTATTTAGTCTGCCACGTGCCCAAATATACAACTGCGTGCAAGAGCCCAAAAAGCGCTAAGTCTCAACATGCAAGACTGGCACCAGACTTTGAGAGGCTTTAGCTTAGATGGTAAAACTACTCCATTACACCCTGTCCAAAAGGGGATCTAAGGAGAATTAATCTCCAGCTTTGCAGGCAGGTTGAAACACCTAGCTCTCTTGGGGAAAATTCTGCTTGGGATCAAAGCCACTTGTCACATTCTTAAGCATTTGAGTGGCTTCTTCTGATGAAGATCAGAAATCAGATTTCTTGACCATTTTTCTACAAGATACCTTCTTATTAGGCTACTCTACTCGATGGCTTGTGTTCTGTTCCGTTTTGCAATTCAAGTCTAAAGCTAGCCATAGCTCGAATTTTGGCCAATTCCTGCTGAATCAGTTGAGATCTGTGGCCTTGTCAGCATCACTCAGTTTGACAAAGCATGATTTAAAAATCAATTGAGCTGGGTGGAAAGTTCTCATTTCAAAAAGCATCCCATCAGATGCAGTCGCTGTTCCGAGTATTTATGTAGCTTTGAGTGCAGCAGCTGTCTGAATATAATAGCTGGCACTGCATATTCCTCAGTCCACACTGTCATTGAGCACTGTGGGTTAGCCAAAGAGACAACACAGCAGAATATCTCCCTTTCAGGCTGCCCTAATTGACTGAACCTTTGAATTGAGCCCTCTGATAAGTAAGGAATCATTCCTGTGGTGACTCGTTCGACTTTCGAGCTATTGATCCCTGCAAACATTGGGCTTTTTACACTTGGGTTAAGTGCAACTGTAGATCTTGTGAAAAAAAAAAATAAATAAAAAAAGACAGCTCCACTGTAGGACTACATAATATATCTGTATGCAATATTTCAAGCCCAAATTAAGACAAACTGAAAAACGGGGAAGAAATTTGTAAAATTGTTGTAATGGTTTCAACTGCCCAGTAAAGCATAGAGTGCTTGTTTCACCCAGCACCAGTTGCAAATCTGCGCATGCATGCAATTATTATTGCTCTCTGTGAGAGTGGCTCGGACCATATAGCAGTCTGACATGTCAGCAGTACACTGCACCAATCCACAACGCTGGATGAAGAGAGCTGATTAACAAGTTTTAAGTTCTGACCATTATAAATATCTACAAAATAACTACATGATGTTTACAACATAAACACTATAGGTACTGAAGTTCAAAAAAAAAACAAACAAACCACTTACTTTTTACAATGTCCACACCATGGAGCAAAGAACTCAACAAACCAAACATCATCACTGTTCAACACTTGTCGATCAAAGTTGTCATCCGTTAGTTCAATTACCTCTTTCTTTCCACCACTGCCACTACCACTGCTGTGCTTCTGCTGGAACAAAAAAAAAAAAAGGTAATAGAGGTGTTAATTTACTAGAGAACACTATAATAACAAAACTCAGCTGCCATAGCAGTAGAATTATGTTATATACACATACATCATCCACTTTATAAGGCAGGCCAGAAGAGAAGGATGCAGAATTGTTGCATTACAGTGGGCATTGTGCCAAAGTGACGTGACAAGATCTTAGCAAGTTGGCAAGTGGAATGCAAAAGTCTTCCTGTGTAGAAATAATTTAAACTATTCTAACTTTTATAGCACTGTAAAGAAGTAGTATATGCACCCAAAGAAGCCTGCTATCTTAAATTAATTTCTGCTACAAGAGTAGATTATGGGAGGAAACTGGGCTAGCAGATCAGTGACCCCTTATGAAGTTTACAGATTTAGAAGGGGTTCTAAAGACTTGCATAACGTACATACATTAAAATAAACTGGTTTTGTTACAATTCCAATTTTACATCTGAAGTACTGTACATACACGTATTTGGTTTACTTGGTTAAATACCTACAATTCAGTACAGCCAGTCTTATAGCCACTGTCACATTGATAATAAAGTGCAGCAAGCACAGAGCTAGTGCTGAGTCTTACTAGAGACCCTTTGCTCAAGCCCCTTTCCCCCTACAAGACTAAATAAAGCTCTCACCTCAACGACAACAACCTCCTCGATCCCCTACAGTCCGGCTTCCGTTCCCTACACTCCCCCAAAACTGCCTTAGTCAAACTCTCCAAGGACCTTCTAACCGCCAAAGCTAATGGCCACTATTCAGTGCTCCTACTCCTCGACCTCTCTGCGGCCTTCGACACAGTCGACCACTCTCTCCTCCTCAACAAACTACACTCCCTCGGCCTCAGGACGAGAGCCAGGAGAGAGCAGAATCTCTAAGTATCACAACGCTCCTTCAGCGTTACCTATAATGCTACCACCTCCCCCTTACTCCTCCTCTCTGTTGGGGTCCCTCAAGGCTCCGTCCTTTGGGCCCCTTCTCCTCTCCATCTACACCTCCTCCCTTGGCCAGCTCATACACTCTCACGGCTTCAACTACCATCTCTATGCCGACGACACACAAATCTATCTCTCAACCCCTCGCCTCACCCCCTCAGTCTCCGCCCAAATCACAAACCTACTAAACGACATATCAGATTGGATGTCGCTCCACTTCCTTAAACTGAACCTCTCCAAAACTGAGCTCCTAGTCTTCCCCCCCAGCCCACACACCACCCCCCATTGACTTCTCCATCACGTCCAACAATGCCACTATCAGGCCGCCCCGCAGGCCAGAGTACTTGGTGTCATTCTGGACCCCAACCTATCCTTCCAGCCCTAAGTCCAATCACTAACAAACTCATACAGACTCCACCTCTGCAACATCGCCAAAATCCGCACATTCCTAACCCCAGAAACCACTAAACAGCACATCCACTCCCTCAACATATCACGACTGGACTACTGCAACTCCCTCCTCACTGGCCTGCCTTGCCACAGGCTATCCCCGCTTCAGTCGATCCTGAATACGGCAGCCAGACTCATTCACCTTACCAACCGCTCTGTTTCCGCCACCCCCCTCTGCCAATCCCTCTACTGGCTTCCGATTGCACAGAGGATCAAATTCAAGATCCTAACACTGACATTCAAAGCTGTCCATCATACTGCCCCAAATTACATCACCGACCTAATATCCAAGTACCACCCAACACGCACACTCCGCTCCTCACAAGACCTCCTTCTCTCTAGTTCCCTGGTCTCCTCCTCCCATGCACGCTTCCAGGATTTCTCCAGGGTGTCACTCATCCTTTGGAACTCCCTACCCCATACCATCAGACTATCACCTACTCTCCTCTCCTTTAGGCGCACCCTGAAAACCCACCTCTTCAGGGAAGCCTACCCCACCCCCTGCTAATTGCCGACCTCCTCCACTCCTCCTACCACCCCATCCCCTACAGCTATCTCGCTATCTCCTCCTGTACCACTATCCCCTCCCTCCTAGATTGTAAGCTCGAAGGAGCAGGACCCTCTAACCCCTCGTGTATCACATTGTATTGTTATTGTACTGTCGCATGTTCTGTCTCCCTTTGTAATGTACAGCGCTGAGCGAACTGTTGGCGCTTTATAAATACTGTATAATAATAATAATAATAAATTGCTCATTTTTGTCTAAGCCAACAATAAACAGCATTTTTACTTAACCTGGCTCTCACTACCCCTGTAGCCTGTGCTCTCTGCTTTGCCCTGATGTTCCAGATGTGTGAGTGGATCTTGGCATCTTCAATTACTATGCAGGACTAATGGTCCTGCATTGCATGTGATGATGTCAGGGTGCAACTGACAGGCAGAGCATCAAAGAGAAGCGGCTTCAGGGGATGGTTCACATGGAGAGAAGGGAGCCTGCTTTTTAATGCCCTAGAAAAAAAAAAAAAAAAAAAAAAATTATGGGTATTTAACCCTTTCCATGCTGGGAAGCCCCACTGTAAAGGTAGTTTTTTAAATGTTCCAGTTTTAAATGCATAATAATCTTTTTTATAAATTCAAAAAAATATATAAAAATTAACCCTATAAAAACGTTAAAATAATATTTAAAAAAATGGACCAAAGCTCTTTTTGTTTTCCCCAGAATATAAAAGTGATGACCAGTCCAACTCTTGCCATTTCACCAAATATATTTGTGCATTAAACTATTATCAGGAAAGTATGTTGCTGAACAATGGTACAAAATAAGCTGGGTATGCTTGGTTTATTAGGGAAATATGTCACAAAGAAGCACATATGCTCTTTTAACTATTTTTTAGACATCAGCTAGGTCTACATTCAACATAATGTAGCAATATAATCCATGAAACAAAAAGTTGTTCAAAAAGGGCAGTACAGAGCTGTCATTTCCATCACTATGGTTTTAACTGGAACTGGATTATCTACTGCTTGACTGATCAGTATCTACTGATTGGGTACAAGGTCAAAAACTTGGAATAAGACTGTACAGGTAACAAGTGGATGATGGGTCTAGTTGTATTAAAGATGATTTCAGAAAGGTCATCTGGTCCCAACATTGGATGCAGTCTAGCAGCTCCAATTATAACCTGTATTCCCTCAGAAACCAGAGGTATGTAGCGTATTCATGCATGAATCAGCTGTTTAAAAGTGCTGCAAATATGAAGAATCTTAGAAAATATCAGTGATATTAAATTCTGGCATTTCATTGGGCACATTTAAGAAGAACTAAATGTTAAATACTAAAATATTGTTAGGTTTGCCTGGTAGCAAAAGTAATGCTAATGTCTAATGCTTAGTGTGACATAAATGTAAGATTTGAGTAGCTGAGATGTGATCTGTAGAAATATGACATTGTAGATTTAGCTTCATTCCATGTTAATAATAAGATGGGTTCAGGATTCAGTCAGACATATGGTCACCATTTGGCACCTGAAAGGACAGAGCATCCTCTAGGCTGGAGGTGACACCTAGATGCCAATAAGACTTGTCACCTACATAGTCAGACTTTGTCGCCTTCTAGAAATCTAAGAAGAACTCTAGACATTCCGGCTTCAGAGGCATCGGGAGACCAAGAGAGGGCTCCGATGTGTCTAGGAGCTCTGACGTATATCAGCAGATCAAAGGAATATATTTAATCTCTCATAAAAGCTAAAATATTAGTTTCAGAGAGATGAAAATACTTCCTTCTGATTGGACACACTGCAGGCTACATCTGCATGTAAAACTGTATTTGTAGCCTATGTATAATCCCAGAGAAACGAAGAAAACGGTTATATGGCGCCTGATTGCGACAGCTGAACAGTGATTGGTACTGTCGCGAACGGACTGATGCGCTGGTGAAATTCAATCCCTGACTTGGTGATTCAAACCGTTCCTGGTCCAAATCGACTATGGGCATTTCAGTACCCAGAATGTCCTGTGTGCTGGAACAGGAACACCCCCAGAGTTGATTGGCCAAGGGCTAATGTCCAGCCTACATCCATATTCCCATAAATTGAGGACCTGAGATATGGACAGTGTGATTCGTACAGAGCCGGTTCTATTGACTGGCGAATCGCGGACTTCTCTCTGACTTGCTCCAGTCGCAGGATAACGCTTGGTAAGTTTTATTTCTGTTTTTATTCACTTTTATTTTATAGTCAATAGCCAATTGTGTGACTTTTTGTATTTTCTGTATTATTTGTAACTCTTTATACTTTGTACATATTTTATGCACTGCCCACTTTCGGGATATTAAATCATAAAATGAATAAGTGACTTCTTGGTACTTAAGCTCGGGCTCATATCTCCGGAGAGATTGTATTGTATTGCAGTGTCTTTATATGCTCAGTCAAGTTCATTGCCTATCTGTATGCAATTGCACTGCATGTTGGCAGATTGCACGCAGGTTGTAAGGTAGCAGATCTGCTATATGGAGATCGGTGTGTGTGTGGTGGCCCAGCAGACCAGTCTGCGGACCCCAAGTCACGGCTGGACGGCACGTCTTGTTAGCTAGTCACTGTGGGCGTGTGCATGTGGGTTGGATCCCAGACACTTCGCTATTGTGAGCAAGAAGAATGTGTTCATTTGGAAATCATATCAAAGTGTTCTAGGAATGGCTTTGTTCCAATAAGAGAAGACCTGTCCAAAACGCAGATAGGTGGGGCTAACTGGAAATAGAAATTCCCATTTCAGATATGCAATAGTGAGCAACAAGAAGAGCTATAGAAGGAACCATCTCATCTTCACTAATCCAGAAGAGGAGACATGGCGCAGGTGACTAGCTATGACAAATCTGTAGCAAGAAGCTCTACAAAGGACAAAATGCCAAAACTGCAAGAAAAAGGAGTACAATTTCCTTTAGTGTCTTAATTCAGGAAGTGTAAAGCCACTGTACACCAGGTTCTATTTCTGATTTAAGATATTTGGGAATAAAGCTTTTTCGAGATATCGAACTTAAAGGCTATGATCATGTGTCAAACAAGTTGCAGGCTCATAGTCAACAGTCATAGTCAGACAGTA